ATTTGAGACCTTAATTTTTTTTTGTCTTAAGTAATTGGATCATTGGATATGTTATTTGAAGACCTTAATTCTTTCCCAATGTTGGTTATGAACGTGACTGCAGTGGTGCTATATCTGATTTCTGGAGCTCTTTGAGCGTGTAAGACCTTAATTCTTTCCCAATGTTATCCAATGATTTCCCAATTCTTTCCCAATGTTATCCAATGATTTCCCAATGTTAAGGTCTGATTTCCCAATGTTAAGGTCACTCAAAAATGTTATTTGAAGACCTTAATTCTTTCCCAATGTTATCCAATGATCCAACAAAAAAAAATTTAGAGCACAATATTTTGTTCGCAAAACATTTAAAAAATCATAAATAGTTTCTATTTATTGCATACATGAAAAATTATGATATCTTTGTATTTGTAATGCTATGGTGCCTAACAATATTAGGTTTAGAGCAAATGATATAACAAACGAAGTTAAAGTTTTAGAGGTATTTTGTTTTCTGTTTAATTTCTGTTTATAGTTTTCGTACATCTTTTGTAGATACATAAAACTGACATATAGTGAATGTTTAACTCAATATAAAATTAGCTATAAAATTTTTTTACGTAGCTCATTATTTTTCTGTCACATAGACAAAATTCTTTATGTATCAGGAGAATATAATGCCCAAACTCTATCATATTTATTCTATTGACGTCCGAACTTTATATTTTTTTAACAAAAAAAGGATTATTTAGAAAGAAATTATTGTTTTTAATATTTATTACCTTAAGCAGAACTCAAAGGATTTGAGATGAGATTTAAAAGCTAAGCTGAAACAAACAAACACAATATTTTGTATTTTATTGTGTATCGATGAGTGTACGTATTTGTTAATTTTATTTCAATAGTAAAAAACAGAAAATATGTAATAAACAGACAGATATATGTCTAATAATAATTTAAAGAGATAACCATAGAAAATGATTTGCGATTACATAATTCTATCTGATTTAGAAAATTTAAGTTTGCATATATATATATATATATATTACTGATAAACTAAACTATTATATATATAAAAATTACCGCGTGTACACACGGGGTTTTATCTAGTTAATTCCAATGAATCGTTAATGATATGTATGATACAAGTTTTGCTTAAAATTATTTATTAGTCAGGAACACAAATTTCTAATCAACTGTAAAATGTCATGAACACAAATTTTTATGCAACTGTATAATGTCATTAAATTTTTATGCAACTTTTTAAAATTAAATCTTGAAAATATTGATGAGCCAAACGTATATAAAAAATTAGCATACGTATTTCAATGACATAATACAGTTGATTATAAATTGGCAAGTGCACTTTCGTTATGAGAGAAATGCATGAGTTTCTCCGTAAGAACTTCTCTTTTGTACATTTGGCATCATTATTATCTCAAAGTTTTGTTTCCCCATCGTTTTCTTCTCAGCATTAATTTTAGTTTCCTTTTACCAATACATTAAACACATTTTTAATTTATTATAGGAAATAAAAATGGGGAGATGCTAGAAACCAAAGTCCAAAGGTCGAAGCCGAATCTTCTTTTCAACGTCTCTCCACTCTCCTTTTCCATGCTTTCACACTCACACTTCTCTCTCTGTCTCAAAGCTCTCAATCAATCTCCGCAAGTTCTTCTCTCCTTGATATCTCCCTCAGAAAAGTAATTTCTTGTCCAAATTCGGCTCTTTTCTTCTTCTTCTGATTCCTCGGAAATGTCGGTGGAATCGCTTTTATTCTTAATTCTTCTTATCTGGAACTTCAATGGCGAATTGAATGCTCTGAACGACGAAGGCTATGCTCTTTTGACTCTCAAGCAGTCAATTTCCAGAGATCCAAATGGTTCCTTAAGTAATTGGAACTCCAAGAATCAAAACCCTTGTTCTTGGAACGGAGTCACTTGCGATGATCAGAAGGTTGTTGTCTCTCTCAGCATCCCCAAGAAGAAACTTGTAGGTCATCTTCCTTCCTCTCTGGGTTTACTCTCTAATCTCCGCCATTTAAATTTGAGGAGCAATGAGCTTAGTGGGAGCTTACCTGTTGAGCTCTTTCATGCTCAACGGCTTCAAAGTTTGGTTCTTTATGGAAACTCCTTATCTGGGTCGATCCCAAACGAGATTGGCGACCTAAAGTTCCTGCAAATTCTGGATTTTTCGTATAATTCTCTAAATGGGTCGATCCCGGAATCGATTCTGCGTTGTAAGAGGCTTAGGAGCTTCGATTTGAGCCAGAATAATCTCACTGGTTCTGTGCCTAGTGGATTTGGTCAGGCTTTGGATTCTTTACAGAAGCTTGACCTTTCTTACAACAATCTCAATGGTCTCATTCCTGATGATTTGGGTAATTTGACTAGATTGCAAGGAACTCTTGATTTGTCTCATAATTCGTTTAGCGGCTCGATCCCAGCGAGCTTGGGGAGTTTGCCTGAGAAAGTGTATGTTGATCTAGCTCACAACAATTTGAGTGGACCAATCCCACAAACCGGTGCTCTGGTTAACAGAGGACCAACTGCGTTCTTAGGGAATCCGAGGCTGTGTGGACCTCCATTGAAGGATCCTTGTTTGCCAAATAAGGAAAATTCTCCAACATCTCACCCTTTTGTACCCGACAAGAGTGAAGGAGGAGCCAAGAAAGGAGGATCAGGTTTAAGCAAATCTGCTGTTGTAGCAATTGTGGTCTGTGATGCGATTGGAATCTGCATAGTTGGATTTCTCTTCTCTTGTTGCTACTTGAAGCTTTGCGCGCGTCGTAATAGCGTGGATGAGGAAGGCTATGTGCTGGAGAAAGAAGGGAAAGAAAAGAGAGGCTCTTTCTGTTTTGGAAGAGACGGATCAGAGAGCCCTTCCTCGGAAAATCTGGAGCCACAACAACATGATCTTGTTCTGTTGGATAAACACATGGCTTTGGATTTAGATGAGCTGCTTAAGGCTTCAGCTTTTGTTCTTGGAAAAGGCGGGAACGGGATTGTGTATAAAGTTGTCCTCGAAGATGGCCTAACCGTCGCTGTAAGGAGACTAGGAGAAGGAGGATCCCAAAGATGCAAGGAGTTTCAGACAGAAGTCGAAGCAATCGGGAAGCTAAGGCATCCGAACATCGTTAACCTTAAAGCTTATTATTGGTCAGTGGAAGAGAAGCTTCTCATCTACGACTACATTGCTAACGGAAGTCTTGCCAATGCACTCCACGGAAATCCCGGTATGGTGTCATTCAAGCCGCTTTCTTGGGAAGTTCGGTTAAAGATAATGAGGGGAATATCGAGAGGGTTGGTTTATCTTCACGAGTTTAGCCCCAAGAAGTATGTTCATGGATCTCTGAAACTCAGCAATATACTGCTGGGACAGGATATGGAGCCTCATATCTCGGATTTTGGACTCATGCACCTCTCTAGCATCGCTGGAACATTAGAACCAACCACAACTGACCGACCATCAAACAAGAGCGCCTCGTCTATTGGTTCATCCACAAACTTGAGCTCGTTTTATCAGGCTCCTGAAGCCAAGAAAGCAACAGTGAAGCCATCACAGAAATGGGATGTGTACTCGTTCGGGGTTATCTTGCTAGAGATGATAACGGGGAGATTACCGATTGTTTTTGTGGGGAAATCAGAAATGGAGATAGTGAAGTGGATACAGATGTGTATCGATGAGAAAAAAGAGATGTCAGACATTTTGGATCCGTATTTGGTGCCTGAGGACACAGAGATTGAAGAAGAGGTCATCGCTGTGCTGAAGATTGCAATGGCCTGTGTTAGTATTGTCCCGGAGAAACGCCCGTCGATGAAGCATATTGCGGATGCTTTGAACCAGATTTGCCTTCAGTGACAGAACAAAATAGTTGCAAGTTGAAAGTGTGGGTATATGTGTTTGAAGGAAATGTCTTATTGTTGTGTCTTCCCTTTTAATGTCAAAATCATATGTTATTTTAATATAGAGTTTTTTTGTTGTCACATAACTTTACTGTTATAATGATTGTGAAGGTACATATATGTATGTATAAGCTTCATAAGGTCATACATTTATAATAAACGATTACTGATTACTGAAATAGCAAGTCCTTATTTCTAGAAATCAATTATATGATAAGAGAATAATTTCTCTGATAATTTTCTTATGGACCAAAGGGCAATGTTGAACTGAAATTAGGAGGCTGTGTTCCAACACTTTCTCTTAAAATCTTTTCCATCTCTTCTGCACCATACATATTCCCTCCCTGTTATAACAATTATTATATATACAAATCCATGAAGATATTAATATAATTTAATCATGTCATATATGATAATTACCTGATACATATCCGTTGGCTCAATATCCAAAGAATTAAGGTCGTAGTACGCACTGGCCACTGAGAGTTTCATGGACAAAAACTGCATTCATGAGGATAGCAGAAAACCATGTAATTGTTGCATGTTATCATTAGGTTATTATAAAGGTTAATGGAATTTTTGCAGAGTGAAATGGATTGATTGTATATTGGCATAACCTCGATTTGATTCTGCAGTGATCGAACATAATCTATGATGACTTCAAGCATCACTGCCATTCCCATTGTCTGCATCATGTTCGAATTTCAGTAAAGAAAATAAACCCATTTTGATTAATTATATATTTATAAAACAATTTGTTTATATTGTTAAGATTGTTTAAAACAATCTGTTCATTTACATACGTGACACTGCCACAACCTCTGTAATTTTTTTGGAGTTCCGTATAAGAATATGGACGTGAACTCAATTATGTGTATCCTGTTTTGTTACGTAATTCACAAGTTAGACGATATATAGATTAAACATGTTTTAATCCCTAGAAAAATGATGAGATGATTTTTAGTCAAAAAAGAAAAAGAAAAAAAAGAAAGAATGATGAGATAACCTCAAAAATATCATCAAAATAGGCGGAGTTTATGAAATTTATCACACATTTTCTCTTTAAGTATATGGTAAATTAGAATAATATAACATCATAAAATTGGTATTATGTAGAACTTCCCCAGAAATAATGGGGTTGATTTAGATTTTTTTTGTGGAAAATTCAGTCACCTTGTAACAGCCGGGAACAAGGTCTTGTAAGCATTTCAGCTTTTCATTTATCTTCTCTCTTCGTACCTTTATGCATTCCAAAATTAATCCAAAACATGCCAATTTTTTCACAAAAATATTTTCCAATTTAGAATTTTGTTTGAGGATAAAATGTTTGTTGAATTACCCTTTCAGCCAAACTGTGACTATCAGTAGCTTGACCCCTCTTAGCCCGGACATGAACTACATCTCTTGGCTTCTGAATATCATCTTCATTCATGAATTCTTCCTCCTCCGACCTCTTTCTTCTTCTCTTTGACCCACTCTCTTCTTTTTTTCCTTTTCTTCCTAAACCGCCTGCCATTAATATATTTATCAAGTTTAAGAACAAATATATGAATATGGAGGATTCTAAGAAAATAAATTAAAAAGAACAAGATGAGATTCATTCACCGGGCGCCAGTAAATTTGGGGAGAAGTGAGAATCATTGTGGTGTGCATCAACTAAAGCTCCATTGGAGAAAAGCATGAAACTGGAAGGAGTAGAAACTGGTGAGTCCAAATTTGTTAGCTCTGGATTTTTGTTAATTTGTGCTAACAACGGGTGAAGACCAATGCTATAGTTATATGGCTCAAACCGCGCCATTAAAGAAACTACAAACTAAAATATGATTTTTTTTTTTTAATTTGAGCTTTGTTCTTTCTTTTTGTAAGACAATTATAAAACTTGCAACTGAGTTGTGATTGTTTATATAGATAGATATTGGTAAGATGTGCTCAATAATGAATTGAATTAGTTTGAAACAATTAAAATGGTTTAGCTGTATTGTGACTTGTGAGAATGAGAAGGAAGCGTGTGAGACCAAAGAGACACTTGCAGCTAGGTTTCCATTTACCACTGTGCAGTAGATTTTGTGGGACCCATGTTCAATGTTAGATATATCTAACCTGCCGGGACCTTTTGAGAATCCCTTTTAATGTAACAAGTATGGTCCAAAATGAAATAGAAGAAAAATGCTTTAATGATCAATGAGTGATCATCACAAGTTTTTGCATTATTAGGCTATCAGACAAAACTTACGTACGACGACTTCACATTAAACGTCTAACTCTGTTGGTTACCGAAAATACTAAAATTTTCAGTATCACTTAGACTATATTAGAATCGTAAAATAAGAAGATTGGTGTATATATTCTACTTTTTCAAGTCGCATATCGGTCCAACTTCACGTGGTAATCCCAAAACCCTAATTCTCATTACCTTCCTCGAGTAGCAGCATGGTTCGACTTATTATCTCTTTTTCATTGGGCCAGGTTCTAAATCGCCAACCGAAAATAATTGTTGCCTAGGCGGCCGAGTTACATAGACAGTAGATTCGGCAGGTTGCAAAACGTTAACATTAACGTCACAAATGTGATCAAATTGTCCACAAATGTTTATAGTAGAAATTACGAAATTTGACTTTGCTGGCATGACATCGCTATGATTGTGAGGAGGCAGAAAAATCCAAGCCCATCTCAGTCGTTAAGATTGGCTTCACCACTTTCCATTTTCTTACATCAATAATGAGGCAACTATCCAATTGCAGAATTACTAATACATATATAGTTCTACAAATTTATCAAAAAAAAAAAAAAACGTTGGGAATATCTCGCTTTCACATTAATTTTGGTTTCATTTTTCCTATTTTCCTTCTACATTACCGTAATAGCCTTTTAAATACAAAAAAGTAAATTTTCGTTGAAAAATATGTTTTACTAAGAATAGACACAAATTAGATACAAATTTTTGCTGTTCGATAATTTTCTGTTCAAAAAAAATGAAAAAAATAGACACAAATTAGGTACCCCAAAACTTAGTAGTGGTCATAAAAAGATTGAATAATCTCTTTACAATTTGCTATGCCTAATTTATATTGAAATTTCATGCTAAACATCATTTTTTTGGCAAGATCACTAACAAATTTTAAGAGATCGATAATATATGCATGTTGTTGGTAACCGTAAAAACTTCCATCAAAATCACCAACTTGCAATAATCATCTCAAAAACTTTCACAAGATTTCCTATCAAAAAGTACTTACTGAACTATCTTTATCTTAAATATCAACAATATTAAATATATAATGCAATTTTTAATTTGTGTACCAATATATAGATTTTACTGTTTTATTCGAATATCTTTGCTTGTAAATATGCATCGTAAAACTTGCTTTGGATGGTCGCTATGATTTCAAGCAGAGACTTATTGTAGTTTTTTTCTTTTATTAAAAGAAATTATTGTAGTTTGTTCTTCTACCGTTCGTTTTTACGCTGTTTGATTATTTTAATTCAAGAAATTTGACTCCCAACAAAAGATTACTGTTATATCCGATAATCTTTAACTATGATTGGAGTGATCCAAATTCAATTTGAAATCGACTCGAAATATAATTATTTCAGTTTTATTTCGGTAATAACATTTTAAACAAATACTGAATCAAAAAAGTAAAAAAATTAAACCGTGTCAAACAAGCATTTTAATTCTCATGTATGATCAATGGTTACTTCGCCGTTGTTTTGGTGACTATTTTCCCCCGATGGAATCTACTAGTTCAACTCGCGGATTTAGACCATCCACAACCTTGAACCGCATCATGGGGTTCATCAGCATTTTTTATTATTTGTTTGTGTTAAAAAGTGTTGGATGAATCTGTATGAACTTGGGAAAAAAATGGGTGTCCAACCTGAACTCGAAAATAATATATAGGTTTTAATGTTTTAATGTTTTTTACGTTTTTATGTTTTTGAACTCTTCAGCACACCTTGACTGCTGCACACGCTCCACACGCACATGTATCCTCTTCCTTATGATTCTGTTCCCAATCTAAACACCAACATAAAGCCACACTACAAGTTAGCTCTTCAATAAATTACATTACCGACTTGAAATTCAAAGACAGATACAATGATAGGCAACATCTCAAGTTAAAATCAAAACATCACAATAACCGTCGTAGCAAAAGAAGGACACAAGCGATAAAGGTAGCAACTTTAGCCTATTCCAACACTCTAAATCGATAGCTAAACAAAACCCATTTCAAAGAATCACAATTCTTACTCTAATTCAGCAAATCAACAATCTTTTAATTAGTCATGAACGATAATACGAACTCAAACAGATCAAATCGAAAACTTTCAACAATTGCAGACCTGCTTGTTGACTTCGACACCAACGGCGCGCTTGGTGACGTTCCAGATGCGACCAGTACGTCCATGGTAGAAATTGTGAGGCATACCTTTGTGAATAGCTCCATTAACCTTCACATCGACGTGTGAGGAGTAATATAGCGACCTATACAGTCATAAAAGAAGTGATGATCGAAAAAAAAGTTGAAACGAAACAATCGAATCATACATAATTCACCAAAATAACAAATCGGGCGATTCATGATTTTGATCGAGGATACAAGAGATTTTCCGATTAAAACATAAACAAAATGAGAATCAGAAGCAAAGAGATTACCTTGACCACCTCATTCATTTTGGGTTTTCACAAATAAATCGTCGATAGAAAAAAAGGTTGAAGAAGAGAGAAATGAAAAATGGTCGACCAAAATCGATTCCCGACCCAAACTCTTTTTTTTTCTCAACCAAGGACCAATATGAGCATGACACCTGGCCGATGAACCCTTGATGATACGGGTTCGTTGAGATGACCATGAAGAGACGATGTGATCGAAATTTTGGGGTTCAACAATTAAAAAATACCTAAAAAATTGCTTTGGGTCCCACTAAAGAACTCCAACGAACCTGCGTTGGAGCTGGTCTTACATTTAGTTCAACTCTTTCAACAATCAACATTGTAGCTTGGTGTACATTATTGATCTTTGCCTACGCGTAAAACTACTATGGAGCCTTCCTTCATGGTCTAAGGAACTAGCATTCTGTTATATATTTTTGTGTTACTTGGAGGTACGAATTTTCTTTGTTCATTAATTTTCACACTTGAACATTGTTTAGTAGCCAAACTAAGTATTTTTTTTTCTGTATTCTTGGACGATTGAGAATTATTGGTTTGAACACAGCTGAAGGAAGGAAGCAAATTTAGAGTAAAGCGCTTCTTGAACCACTCTTGACAAAAACCCTTCGCGGACTCATATCATTTGCTCAAGTCAATGAATAGCCGAGCGATATAGAACGTTTAGCAGCGGCATTCCGATGAAGTTTAATTCTAATACAAACCACTAAAACATATTGTATGATCATAGTATTGTTTAAGGTGTGTTATTTAACTATTATCTTCTGGTTGAGAAATTAATAGTGTAGCAGCAAGCGCGGCAAAATCGCATAAAGCATTGACATTTTATTTTATACTAGCTAACTCATAATCAAATTACAAATTTTTCATTGTTTATGATCTTATGGATTTAAACTTGGTACTATGGACGTGTCATTATCGGATCGAGTTGGCTATAATTACACAAATGGGTCGGCATTATAACACCACCGTAATTTCAACTTTAAATATACCATTTAATTCACAACCAATGTGAGCTTCCAGAAAAAGAAACTGATGGGTTAGTATTTACCACTACGACCTTTCTAAATTTGAAAATCAAAATTGTATTTCGCCACCCTTGTTGTTCCTTTCTTCATTCCATGTGTTTCTATCTTTTCACTTTTGTTCTGCCCCACTAAACTTATCTTGAAACAGAGGCTGTGTTATTGAGTTATTTCTATATTTATATTTATTTATCTGGTAAACGAATTATCTAGAATTTGAGAAGGAACAGTTCCAAGAATGACACGTGTTTCTATAGAGTACTCTTAATCCAAACTATATGGTACGTGACTTCGCATAGAGTTCCTCTGGTGCCAAGATTTGATTGATTTTACATACGTCGAACTTAAATACTTGAAGAACCCTTTACAAGTTGCAAAGCTTGTTCTCTGTTTTTTTTTGTTTGTCGCCAAGTCTTTTTTTGTTGAAATATTTGTTTTTCTTTTTTGTTGAAAATTCGCCAGTGTCTCTTCTTTTAGTTTGTTATTACTTTTAAAAATTGCTGTAGTTTTAGATGAATTTTAATCATTTTCCAATATATATCACAAGTCTATAAATTCCCCAAAACCGTTGAATTCACTTCCACTTCTCAAATCAGTCTCTCTCTCTCTTCTCTCTCTCTCTCTCTCTCTCTCTCTCTCTCTCTCTCTCTCTCTCTCTCTCTCTCTCTCTCTCTCTCTCTCTCTCTCTCTCTCTCTCTCTCTCTCTCTCTCTCTCTCTCTCTCTCTCTCTCTCTCTCTCTCTCTCTCTCTCTCTCTCTCTCTCTCTCTCTCTCTCTCTCTCTCTCTCTCTCTCTCTCTCTCTCTCTCTCTCTCTCTCTCTCTCTCTCTCTCTCTCTCTCTCTCTACAAAAATGTCAAATATAATGAAGAGGAGCTATGATGGAAATGAAGATGGCGCAGAGCAGCGAAAAGGGCCTTGGACACTTGAGGAAGACACTCTTCTCACCAATTACATTGCCAATAACGGTGAAGGCCGATGGAATCTGCTCGCTAAATCGTCTGGTAATATTCCTTTTCTTTTACATTTTATATACTTGATGTGCACGGCACTATAGGCGAAATTTTATTAAATGTTTTATTAATTGGTCTAACATCAACTATTAGATACCTTCACTTCATGTTATAGTCACTAATCAGTTTGAATTAAAAGTTTGATCCCTTTCTTGTAAAAAAAAAACAGGGCTTAAAAGAAAAGGAAAAAGTTGCAGATTGCGATGGTTGAATTATCTTAAACCTGACATAAAGCGAGGGAATCTCACTCCTCAAGAACAACTCTTAATCCTCGAGCTCCACTCTAAATGGGGTAATAGGTACGTTACTATTATTTATTCATTCTTTACGTAAAAAAATACGAAGATTAAGAAATTACATAAATATCTATTATTTTTCCTCGTTCTATGTATAGAATGACTATAATCTAACATGTAACATGTTGTTTCTTAGGTGGTCAAAAATTGCGCTGTATTTACCCGGAAGAACAGACAACGAGATCAAAAACTACTGGAGGACTAGAGTTCAGAAACAAGCACGCCAGCTCAACATCGATTCCAGCAGCCACAAGTTCTTGGAAGTTGTGCGTAGCTTCTGGGTTCCAAGATTGATCCACAAGACGAAAGATAACTCGGACACCAACACTAAAGCTCCTCCTCCTGATTCACTTGGACCCGTTATACGAGATACCGATTTCTCTCAAGAACCGGGTTTCAACATGGATTGTTCCAGTACTACCATGTCTCAAGATCTCAAGAAAATTTCAGAATTCATGGATTTGTCTGATCTTGAGACCTCAAGCTCTTCAATGTACTTGGATGGATCACGAGGGAGTAGTAGTCAGTCTGTGAGTGAAAATTATAGTAGCTGTTTCCCTTGCATAGAGGGGGATTACACGGTGGCCACCATGGGTAATTCAGACATTTTACCATTGCATGATTGTCACATAGCAGATTCGGCTTACGAGGAGGATGTGACACAAGATCCAATGTGGAACATGGATGATATTTGGCAGTTTAAGGAGTACGCATACTTTAATTAGGTTGTGGAGCCCATGGATATGGATATTCTTACAACCTCAAAGGAGTTTCTAAGTATTCTATTATCATTTGTTTGCTTTGTTACGGCTTATAGTTAAAGTCTGAATTATTTGAAATTAAGTTCAAAGAGAGCTAATGTAAAACTATGAGTTAATAAGTTTCTATATGAGTCTTTTACGTAGAAATTTAACTTTTGACTAATTATGAGGAAGTGACAGCTGAAAGAATAGTGCTTGTCTCCCTGAAGAAAAGCCTAATCTTTGAATATTAAATAGTTCTCACTTTCGTGTGTTTGGATCATCTGAAGGAGAACAAATCTAATCTCACCTCTACATGTGAAAGAATCCAAAATATCACCTCTAAATCGTGTATATACATATATACACGATGTTAATTCAATCCAAGAAAATGACGGGGCAATAGTGAAAGTTCTAGAAATAATTGATGAATTGTCTTCGGAAAATTAGACGTGTGCATGGCAGTAAGTCGACGGAAAGTCTGCACGTTTGGCATTATATGATTTTTTGTGTTTTTTTAAATAGTCACACGTTTAAATTTGTGCTCTAAATAATATTTGAATGTAGATAATATATAAAACTAATTATAATCTTTGGGCACTTATATGAACCATGCATATAAATGTTGCATTATATATTCCAGTTGCATTATATATTCCAACCAATTAAGACACATTAACTAGATTATAATTACTGAATTTACCTCCTACTTTTTGTATGCCTCGAGCATAAATAATAGTTCTTCTCTAATCCGTAAACTAAAGTTCTTTTTTCTTTGTTGGTGTAAATCCGTAAAGTTGTTTAGTTTAGAATTTTACATAAAAAAGCAGAAGAAATTTAAAAATAGAAAAGCTAAGTGTACAAAAAACCACTCAATTTGCTAACTGGAAATATATATTAGATTAATTCTCTTTTAATATATTTTTTTGCCCCTCTTTTTCAATTTGATATGATACATATAAGTTCATTGCATTTAGCCATTTACATTTAACAAGACCTTATCGACCACCTATTGATTATCCTATATGTGGCTCAAAAAATGATAATAAATACAAAACTAGTTGAAGATACATAGTCCCACAAGAGCTTCAACGTGATAGAGAAATGTAGTTTTTATTTTTACTAACGAATGTGTAATCTTGAACTACTTTGGAGGTAAGTTAATCTTTATTACTTCCAAATAAAAAGTTTTAAAAAGCTTTTAATTTTTTTCGGAGGTCAGTTCATGGAAACTTTAGAATGATTTGAACCCAAATTAAAAGGCATTATAAAGTTGCGATAAACTCTTAAATCATTTTTCAGAGGCCCTGAAGGCAATAGTACACATTTATTTCATCACTTTTTTGGAAATGAAAGTCTTTGCATGCTTTGTCTCCTTCTCATCTCCAATAATTCAATTTTTCTATGGATCACATACATTTGTATATCAGATAAATAGGAGTTACTATTTTTCTTTTGATAAATTATTCTTTGTGTGTGATTGTGCTAAATGTTTATAGAAAAACGTGTTATATATAAAATTCTACCCAGACAGCCCGTTTACTTTGTGTCAATATTTTTCTTCCATTATATTAAATATCTTCGTCTACTACAAAATCACGAGCGCATATTCCGGGAAATTAATCCAACAAAGATGGGAATTGTAGAAACATTGGCCATAAACTGTTTGATGGTCAAAGTTGTTCATGGATGTTGTTGGAGAGTCGTATGTTTTTGTTGGAATAGTAATCAGTCAAACTTATTTTTTTGTAACAAGGGTTTATCAGTCAAACTTATTGACCAACGAACGATGTTGTAACTTTTTTTTTGTTTTGTTAAAGAATGTTGTAACTTGTAATCATCAACATAATGATCCTCTAACAAAAAAAAAGTAATCATCAACAGAAGAATAATTAACTCGAATATATTATAAGCTGTAGTTCATGAAACAGTGATTTTTTTCTGGCATAAGATCACTCAATCACACCTCGAGGAAAAACCCATAATCGTGGAACCTTGGGCTTTCATATAATCTAGCTATCATTTTGATTTAATCGGACGAAAACAAGATCTTTTTTTTATATAAAAAAAAAGTAAACTGAAAACCGTTGCTGTAATAAGATTCTTTTTTTTAACAAATTAATTTTATTGGTTAAATAATTTAGAAAAACAAAAACTTGGTTTTCCTATATTAAGATTTTGTATTGTTTGGTCATGTTCGTACAGTGCTACGGCGGCAAACATCATCAAAATTAAATAAAACAGTGCTAAAATCAAACACGAGAAAACTAATATGTTCACTAATGCTTTAGTTATTAGACAAAAATTTCGCAGTGTTGATGATGTTATGTGATTTTTTTTTAGCTAGGTGGACAATACATGATGGATGACTCAAAAGTCAAAACCCCCTAAATTACATAAACATACAGTTAGTTTATGCATTCTGTACGTCAATCAAACGATGTCGTTTTCTGTTTTAATGACGTGCATCCGAGTAATCTTTTTAAAAATAAATAGTTTGTCTAGCCATGTGTAGGTCTGACCTTTTGAGACTCGCTTATTTTAGTTCGTGCATGATTTTGCATAACATGTTAATTCGTGTACATGTAGACATTCACAAGTGGACAAAGTTGATGCCAATTTAACAACTTTACTGCATACCTCATATCCTAAAGTTGTCCTTATCGTAAAAGCATCTTGTTCCTTAATCTTTAATATTCCATCTTCTTTTACAACTTTTGTATTCTGTGTAATTGTTCATAAGGTTTCATAGGAATTCAGAACCAATATCAAGCTTTTAATGTCGTGAAGTGGACAATGAAATTAGAATGATGTGCCGGAAATATCAAAGGCAGCGCACGTTGAAACCCTATCACAATCCCATCAGAGCAGAGCTTTCGATTTTCAGTAAATCAAAATCACATGCTAAAGATACTAGACATTCTCTATATTACATCTGTCAAGGAGCTTTTAGCATCTTTTTGTGCTAGTAATACCAACATTTGTTTCATGCTTTAGTTTCGGAACAAAGAAAAATGAATTATAATAAATTATGCAACATGTTTAAATTATGAACCCAATTAAAAACAAATTAGTGTAGAAATTGAATTAATGAAGTAGCTGTAAATGTTTTCAGGGGGTTCGATAGTAAATCCTTTTGACCAAAACAGCCACAAACAAGTGAAACAACTAGGTACTCATTGTAAACAGAGTAAGTATACATTTGGAAAAAAGTGAATTTTATAACTTATGCAACAAGTGTAAAATATGAGCCAATTATAAAAACAAATTAGTGTGGAAATTGAATTAATGAAGTAGCGCTAAACGTTTTTAAAGGGTTCAATAGTAAATCCTTTTGACCAAAACAGCTACAAACAACCGAAACAAATTTTCAAATTTCCCAAATTTAACTGGTCACTTAGATCTTTGACACTATTTACTTCCCACCTTTCCCATAGCTGTCTCTGAGTGTGACCGTCCGGTTAAACACAAGCTTTCCCGGCTCAGAGTCCTTGTCCACCGCAAAATAACCTAATGCATCACAAGTTATGGTTGAAACTTGTATCAGTGTTGATTTAAAGATTAAAAAGAAAAGGAACAAAAAAAAAAAAAGAACTTGTTGCTCATCAAGAATAACAATCACTTTTTATGATCATGAAACAGAAAATACCTAGCCTTTCGAATTGGAATCTGTCCCCGACCGCAGCATCTTTAAGGATTGATGAAGCATAGGAATCAGAAAGCACCACTTTGGAGTTTGGATTAATGTCAGTGAGCCAATCGTCATTGAGTTCAGCAGGGTTCTGTGTTATGATCAAAATACAATTTAGCTCAACGAAGATCTTTGCAACTAAAACAAAAGCTAGAGAATAATAAAATACCTCGGAGTTGAAGAGTTTCTCAAATAATCGGACTTCAACCTTTATAGGCTCTTTTCCTGGGGAAGATTCAGCAACCCAGTGTAGAACCCCCTGCAGAAAAATAGGGACCGATTAATAAGAGCCACAAGAACTACAGAAATTATAATGATGATTACAGGAAAGAACCTTTGGCTTTGTCTTTTTCTCAGGGTCATACTCCGCATGAATCTCACGAATGGTTTCATTGTCATCAGCAAGGACAACGTTGGTGCACTTGATTGGGAAAGCGTATCTGCAAACAGAAGAAAGCACATTTTGGTCACAGATGAATCTTATCCAAAGCCAAAGTAGTATATATAGTAATGATGATAATAGCAAGTGTCCGTTTCTATACCTTAGCAAGACTGATTTACCAGGGGCGAGCCCATAGTAGTCTTTTGAATCCTTCATTCGGAAGTCAGATTGCTCGATGTATACAACTCTAGAGAACGGAACCTATATCAACAACACCCAAAAAGAAAGATCAGGAGAACAGAACAATGTTGTGTAGAAGAGTACTATATGTGAAACACAGTTTACCTTGTAGAATGCAGAGGGATCATCGTTCTGAGCATCAGGCCACCTTTTGGCGTCAAGCTCCATAACCTTATCTGATTCCAAATTGGTGATGACCACCTTAAGAGGACTAAGCACAACCATAGTCCGGGGAGCCGTTTTATTCAACTCTTCTCTGATATGATGCTCAAGCCGACTCACATGTATCATGCTACCATCACTTCAATATACAACAATAGGCAAGCAGATTTAATGAATATGACTAAGATTGGCCAACTCTTATAATGTGATATAGATAAATAGCAAACCTTCTCGTAATTCCCATTCCTCGTACAAAAGCATTGATCGCTGTAGGAGTCACACCCCTCCGTCTCAAACCAGCAAGTGTCAAAAGACGTGGATCATCCCAACCATCAACATAATTGTTTGTCACAATGTAATTCAACTGCAAGAAAAGAAAGAGAAACAAAAATACAACCAACATAAGATTATCTGCAGAAAATGTTCAAAGTAGTTCACTAGCAAGTTAAGTATTTTACCGACCTTACGCTTGGACATTACAGTGTTTGTGACATTCAACCGTGAATATTCCCACACATACGGCATGTAGAGACCCAGGGAATGTAATAACCAGTAATACGAAGCTCGCCGGGTTTCAAATTCAAGAGTACAGAGCTACATTTTATGGAGATAAACATGAAAAGGTTAGAACAACATAAGAGATTGTAGAACAACAAAGATACAGATACTGAATAGGCTTTTATAACACTGGACGCAAATAAATGGGTCACGAATGCATCATTTTTTTGTTGCAAAAGGCCTAGAAAGGGACAAACCGAGTGTGTTATATTCTCGAGAGAATCAACAGTGCAGTGGGCATAATCGTAGCTCGGATAGATGCACCATTTGTCACCAGCATGAGGATGAGGTGTGAACTGCAAAGCATACCACCAAATCAGATACTCAAAGAATGGGGAGAACGTATTCTTCTATGCATACAGAGATGATTTTTGTTTCACTTGCCTTTATACGATAGGCAATAAGATCATACATATTAAAATTATCATTTTGCATATCCTGCTTCATTCTTAACGTTGCCTTCCCTTCCTCAATCATTCCTCGTCTCATTTCGTCAAAGAGTTTTAGAGAATCTTCAATAGGCCTGTCTCTCCAGGGGCTATTCATTTTCTTCTCTCTGTACTCTTTTATCTCTTCAGCAGTCTGAAAGTTGAAAAACATAATTTAAGAGAGAATGAGTTCTATGTGTGGAGTAAGTTGCAGCAGCTTAGAACTAACGCGTGACAACTGGTTGGAAAATGCAACAGGAATCCATATATTAGAACGTTTAAATTGATTCAACCTGATGATCAACATAAGCATGACCTCTCCGAATCAACTCGACTGCCAGATCATACAATTCTTGGAAATAATCACTGGTGTACGTAATCTAGAAGAAAACAGTGGAAAGAATTAGATATATATAAACACACAATAATACTAAGAAAAATTTATTGATACTTAAAAGTAAGAATACCTTGAAGGGTTCCCAACCCATCCAGTTAACAATGTCTTCAATGTGATTAATGTACTCTTTCTTTTCTGCTTCGGGATTGGTATCATCATATCTAAAAAAACAATTTTTTAAGAGAATCCATAACTATGTCCTGATAGAAAAAACAATGATTGCTATTGAGACGTAAAAGCAAATAAGTAATCTAACCTTAGGTAACAGCAGCCCCCTCGCTCTTTTGCAAGACCAAAATCGACAAACATAGCCTGAAAGAACAAACATTGGATATGACCAAAAAAGGTAGGTCTTACCAATCATAAATAATCATGCAAAGTATCTGACGATCATAAATTATGTGAATGTTACCTTAGCATGTCCAATATGTAGATAACCATTTGGTTCAGGGGGGAACCGGGTATAAACTTTCCCTCCAGTCACCTTGAGATGTTTATCAAGCACTTCCCTCTTATTGCTACATCTGAGCACTGAGCCATCGCTGAAAAACACTTCTGTATGAACCTGAAAATATAATTAATGGTAACTTACATGATTACATCAACATTGCTGCCACCGAGTCTCTATGAGCATATGTTACATGGCAATGCTAGCTATGAATTCACCAATGAAAAAAAAAAAAAAAAATCACTTGATACATATTGGCATCATCCATTTGCTTCAAAAGCTATATATTTTCCCAACTTTCCATATTCAACATTGTATAAGAAGTTTGTTCCAGATCACCAGAATAAACAGGCGCAAGCCATACAGATCAAATCTATTCTACTCTTGTTATGACCTAATCAGCACCCAGAAGTACGATAATCAATGGAAGAGGATTTAAAAGCAAAAACGTGGACTTGAAAATCTCAATAAAACAAAACTATCAGAAACAAACAAAAAGCAGTGCGAGTACCATCAAATTTTTCTCTGGCTGAGGGAATATAGAATATGGATTAAGCTCCTCTTCAGATGGCTCTGGGGTAGCTTCCACAGCAGCTTTCTTTTCCTAAAGATGCCACAGAAATGAAGCATTAAAGTAACTACATACACAGTAGGATAACAAAGTACGAAAAATTCCAATTACCTCGGCTTTGGCAGGTTTCTCCTTCTTTTCCTTCTTTTTTGTAGGTTTTTCATTATCAGCAGCAGTTTTCTCACCAAGCAGTTCATAAAGTTTTTCTTCTATGACGTCCTATTGCAGACAGAAGACTGGATAAGAAAACTAAAATTTCGATTGTGACTAGCAAAGAAGACAGTGTGCCAAAACTGTTACCTTTGCAATCTTAGGATCTGCCCATGGCAAACTTTTCCGGACAAGTCCAAGTAATTGACCCACTATACCACATAAATACATCACGTTCAACCAAGAAACAGTATAAGCTGGTTATGAGAAAAGATATGGAGAAAGAGAGACTGAAATATTTAGACAATGAGGTAAAGAGACTAACCATTAGTTCGGTAACGCTGCTCCAATATTGTCTTCTTATTCTCTTCAAAGACTTCTTTAACTGCTTTCACAATATCTTCTAGGGAAACTTCAATCCCTGTTCCAAAACGATAATGAAGATCTCACCTCCAAATCCATGGAAAACACAGCAATATATAACCTCCAAGAATCATGTTAATAAAGAAAAAATAGAACACCTAGACATGATAGCATTAAGGAACAAATATAAATTCATAATCGCAAGCACAAAATATCCTACCAACACCACATGCTTCCTCAAATTCATTTAGCTTGAAATCCTCAGGCGTAGTATTGTTAAAAAACGCTATTGCAGCATCCAATTGGGCTGGAGTTTTGATCTGCAGATTATAGAGAGAGAATCAAAACAATATTCGCCAGCTTTCCATCAACAAAACAGAACCAAACACACGAATGGGAAGTTCTGACCTTAGAGGAGACAATGTACTTGAACAATGTAGGACGATGCAAATGAACATTTGAATGGTGCTTAGCAGCAACCTGTTAACACATAATTGCCAGGAGAATACAACCGCAATAAGTTTCTTTAAGTTGGCAAAAATTCAAGGCAAGTTTGGTTTCATAATAAAAAGATAGAAAACAAAAAAACTTTCTGAAGCTAACTAAATTTAACAAGAATGAGATCAAATTAATCAGAATATATCTCACCGTGTACAAGAGATTCCCAGTAGTTCGATCGCACCCATTAGTAACACCAGCCTGTACACAAGACAAAGTTCATAAATAGCAAGCTCAGATGATCTAATTGAGCAGGTAAGAGATCAAATTACAGCAGATACACACATGCAAAGAAGTCCAAATCATCTGCGAATTTCGAAATGAAAGAAATTGGGAGATTACAGAAAAATCCGATATGGTCAACAGATAAACAAAATCGAGACTTTCTCAGAAGAATAAGTTTTCTTCTATCCAATTCATCGGATTACAGTAAGATCCGAAACTTCAGTAGCGAGGTAAGAACAAGGAAGAGTACAGAGTAGAGAGTAAACCTCGTGGATAACGGCGGTGAGATTGGTGGTGAGCTTGTCGTTATTAACGGTAGTGCTGGCGGTTTTCTCGTCCAAACCGATACTGAGGAAGAGCTTCACAGATTTCTCGGAGTTATCGTCTTTGGGAGCCATGGCGCTGAAACTGACAAAAGTAACAGAAAAATAAAAAAAGAAGGAGACGGACCTCTAGGGTTTAAATGTTGGGGACGTGACGAAGCTTTCTTCTAAACCGGAGTGACTGACTCTTTGGTTTACTTTTAACCGAAGATGGGCTAATATAAAAGGAGATAAGACTGGTACAGTTTTTAAAAATCGAACCGAACCACAAAAATGAAATGCAACCGAATCCAGACCTTGTCCGGGCCATCGCCAACCGCTACGCCGCGAATCTCCGCCTCTGTTTGCCTCTCCGACGAACGTCTCTGCAACTCGCGCGAGCCGTACATGGCAACATCATCACTTTCGGTTTCCAGCCACGTGCACACATTCTCAACCGTTTGATTGATGTTTACTGTAAATCGTCAGAGCTCCATTATGCGCGCCAACTGTTCGACGAAATCTCTGAACCAGATAAAATCGCCAGAACCACCATGGTCTCCGGCTACTGTGCTTCAGGGGACGTCACACTCGCTCGATGCGTTTTCGAGGAAACTCCTCTGAGTATGCGAGATACTGTAATGTACAACGCCATGATCACTGGCTTCACGCACAATCACGACGGCTACTCTGCTATTAACATGTTTTGTGAGATGAAGCGCCAAGGATTCAAACCCGACAACTTCACTTTCGCGAGTGTTCTCGCGGGTTTGGCTCTTGTTGTCGAAGAGGAGAAAGACTGTGTGCAATTTCATGCTGCAGCTATGAAGTCCGGCGCTGGTTATATCACTTCCGTTTTAAATGCTCTGGTGTCTGTGTATTCGAAATGTGCTTCTATGTTAAGTTCAGCGAGAAAAGTGTTTGATGAGATCCCTGAGAAAGATGAGAGGTCGTGGACGACTATGATTACAGGTTATGTAAAGAATGGTTTTTTTGATTCAGGGCAAGACTTGCTTGAGGGGATGGACGAGAATATGAGGCTTGTCGCGTATAATGCTATGATTTCTGGCTATGTTCATCGTGGGTTGTATCAGGAGGCGTTGGAGATGGTTAGAAGGATGGTTTCATCTGGAATTGAGCTCGACGAGTTTACATATCCTAGCCTCATAAGGGCATGTGCCACTGCTAGATTGCTTCAGCTGGGAAAGCAAGTTCATGCTTATGTTTTAAGAAGGGAGAATTTCTCGTTTCATCTTGACAATTCTCTGGTCTCATTGTATTACAAATGCGGTAAGTTTGGTGAGGCAAGGGCCATTTTTGATAAAATGCAGGCAAAAGACTTGGTTTCTTGGAACGCTTTGTTATCAGGGTATGTTAGTTCTGGGCACATAGGTGAGGCGAAGTTGCTTTTCAAAGAAATGAAAGAGAAGAATATTCTGACCTGGATGATAATGATATCGGGGTTAGCCGATAACGGGTTTGGAGAAGAAGGTTTGAGGCTGTTTTCTTGTATGAGGAAAGAAGGCTTCGAACCTTGCGATTATGCGTTCTCCGGAGCAATCAAGTCCTGTGCTGTCCTGGGAGCTTATGGCAACGGACAACAGTTCCATGCTCAACTGGTTAAAATAGGGTTTGACTCGACCCTCTCTGCAGGAAATGCCCTCATTACTATGTATGCCAAATGCGGGGTTGTGGAGGAAGCTCGACAGGTGTTTCTAGCTATGCCTTGTCAGGATTCGGTTTCTTGGAATGCTTTGATTGCTGCATTGGGACAGCATGGGCATGGTACTGAAGCAGTGGATGCGTATGAGGAGATGTTGAAGGAAGGGATAAGACCTGATCGGATTACGTTTCTGACAGTTTTGACAGCGTGTAGCCACGCAGGTTTAGTGGAACAGGGACGGAGATACTTTGATTCGATGGAAACGTTTTACTCTATACATCCAGGGCCAGATCATTACGCAAGGCTCATCGATTTGCTCTGTCGATCTGGGAGATTCTCTGAAGCGGAAAGTGTAATCAAATCGTTACCATTTGAACCTACTGCACAAATCTGGGAAGCTCTTCTTTCGGCTTGCAGGGTCTATGGAAACATGGAACTAGGGATCATCGCTGCTGAAAAACTCTTTGAGCTCATACCAGAACACGATGGGACATACATGCTCTTATCGAACATGTACGCAGCTACTGGCCAGTGGGAGGAGATGGCAAGGGTACGTAAACTAATGCGGGATCGAGGGGTCAAAAAGGAACTGGCTTGTAGTTGGGTTGAAGTGGGGCCACAAGTGCATACATTTCTGGTGGATGATACGTCGATTCCAGAGTCACAAGCTGTTTACAACTATCTTCAAGAGTTGTGTGAAGAGATGAGGAGATTCGGGTATGTGCCAGACACGAGTTTTGTGTTGCACGACGTTGAGTCTGATGGTCACAAGGCAGATATGTTAACTACGCATAGTGAAAAGCTTGCGGTTGCATATGGGCTAATGAAACTTCCTCGGGGAACAGCTATTAGGGTTTTTAAGAACTTGAGGACTTGTGGAGATTGTCATAATTTCTTCAGGTGCTTGTCGCGATTGGTGCAGCGAGACATTATCTTGAGAGACAGGAAGAGGTTTCATCATTTCCGGAATGGCGAGTGTTCTTGTGGTAACTTCTGGTAGGCGAGGCTTCACTTTTGACAATTCATTTAGACGTCATTCTTACAATTTTTTTGTCGTCATGATGAGACACTTGACGAACTCTCTTTGTAGCTACATTTCAAATCTGAAGAAACTTGTAACTCAATAGAAGCATAAGTCTTGAAAGAAAGGGCCGATCAGATCGCTGCATAATCCATCTAACGAGTTCCTAAACCCTAATCATAACTTACTTCTCAAGGAAACCAATCTCTGTCACAATACCCAAAATTTTCCTAAACATACGTGTCCCCTTCGAAGCTATCAACGTTACTTAGTTCCTTATTAATCTATTTCAACCAGATTAAGAGCTAAGAGTTCAGTCTACTCCATGGTTTCTTTCTCGCCAAAAGAAGTAATACTTATCTTTTTAACTTCTAGCTCTAGTAACGGAAAATTGGTTAATTCAGACCTAAACTTTCATACATGTTAAAGTTATGTCTAAACTAATTTTCTGGTGTAAACATACTTAATTCTTATAAAAATTTGAATTTCATCCTTAATCTATTATTTTTGTGCTTAAACCAATTTCCGTCCAATCGGTGTTAACTATCCGTTAACGACGTTTATGTGGAATCCACGTCAACAATGGTTTCGTTTTGGGCTTGTGAACTTTAACTATAAAAACAAATAAAACGGCGTCGACTTCACATTTTGCGTTTATCTCTGCTAAAACGCGAAAAGCTTCTCCAGAGTCGTCTAAGTGAACCCAAAAGACTCGCAAACGGTTTTCTCCCGGTAAAAGAGGTAAATTTGTTCTGTTTGTTTCTTTGGGAAAACTGAAATTTATTTGCAGTATCTACTCTGTTTCCGTCTTCAATCTCTCTGCTTTACTCAAAAATTCTCTTAATACATAGGTCATGTGGCTCCGCCGCGGAAACCCCAGAATCTGAATCTAGAGGTTTCCCCACATAGAGCTGGTAAAGTAGTCCACTACTTTAGTTACGAATTTGACACGCCACTATGTTACAGGGACGATATATATCGAAATAGAATCGTGACTTTTAGCGAGTATTTAGAAGTTTGGTCTTTTGGAGTCTTTGGATCATTGTTAGAAGTGGAAAAATTTGAGCTTTCACAATATTTTAGTAACAGTTTCTGTTTGTGGAACTTACACAGTATCTGCAGTCAGATTGATGAGAATTGAGTTTGGTAGAGCGTTTGCTGATCTTTTGAACGAGAAAGGGAAAGGCTCCGGAAGCAATGAGATGAGTTACGTCGAAAGAACAATCAGGTTTCGAACTCGAGATTTGGATGACCGGGATCTTAGACTGGTTAGTGTCACCATTCCCATCTTTACTGAGTAGAAACCTTGAAGAAGACAGAAGACAACTACACTCAGAGACGACTTAGGGATTTGGAAATCAAGTTCTTCAGTCTCTTGATTCTTGTTTGAGTTCAATGTGTTCTTCCAGCAGTTGGGGTAAGTTAAATGTTTTTCCCTTTTATGTGTTCGTGAGTGTATTAATTTTTCATCTTCTTCCATATAACCGCCATTGAAATCACCTCCTTTCCTTAATACAAACCCCAAAATATCTCTTGCGCTGTGTAATGTGTTCGTGAAGTTTATATCTAAACCAAATGAAAGGCGGTGGCATTAACTCAACTTTTCTGTCTTATTGTGAAATTCTCCGTGTCACCGTGAATTCCTCAGCGGAGCAGATACGGCAGGCGTATCACAAGCTTGCTATGGTGGGTCATTGTTGCTTCCTTTTTTGGGTTAAATCATCGTTACTTCTTGTTTTGGAGAATATGACAATTTTCACCGAGGAATGTGTGCTGACAATTTTTTTTTGTTTTTTAGTTTTTTTTCAATGAAGAAATGGCATCCTGATTGGTGGACGAAAGATCCTTTGAGATCTGTAAAAGTAAAACGAAGTTTCCAGCAGATTCAAGAAGCTTATTCATGTACGGCTCTGTTCGGTCTCTGTTTTGCTGTCATGACGAAGAAGGAAAACTAACATTGTTTTGCCTGGAAACAATTTGTTATATTCATCGTTTTATCTGTTTTTATAATTAAACTCCTCAAACCCAAAACGACACAGCTGTTGACGTGGATGCTACGTAGATGTCATTTAACGGATTGTTAACACCGATTAGATGGAAAATGGTTTAAGCACAAAAATAATAAATTAAGGATGAAAATCAATATTTTATAATGATTAAGTATATTTACACCAGAAAATTAGTTTAGGCATAACTTTAACATTTTCCGAAAGTTTAGGTTGAAATTAGCCAATTTTCCCTCTAGTAACAGTTAATTTTTTATTATTGTTTGTATATATCCTTTTTTGGGCAAAATTGTTTGTATATATCCAAACATCAAAATTAAAGTGGAAAAATTCGCAAACTATTGTTACTGTAAAAAATAATGGGTAAATATATACTAGTACATTTAACATAAATAGTTAATTACCCCATAACTCGTGTTTATTTCTCTCTAAAAGCCCACAATGCTTTACAGATCGGAGTTTCAAATTGTATAAAAATTAATTTGGCATAGATTCATCATAGTGATATAGGGGGAGCCAACCAGAGCCCACCTTCGAAGAGTCAAGTCAAGCACGGCAATTGATTAACCAGAGAATATCTCGTTAAACCAAACCGGGAAGAACTGAACCGGGAAAGAACGAGTCAAAGGACTCAAAAACTCCGGAAAAGCGGAAACGAAGCCGACGCGGGAAAAAGTTTAGCCCCCACACATAACCAATTGGTCTCAAGCTTTTCCTAAGAATCAAAAGTTTACATTGCAGCCTTTCAAGTTTAAGGATCTGTGTTTCATCCGATCATAGCAAAACAAAAAGAAATATTTGCACAACGTTAATCTCAAGTCTCAACGAACACTGAGCCGAACAAACTTTCTTTATCACACTTTAAGCTGAATCTCGATCTGTGTAACTCCAGTCTACCGCGCACAAGTAGACGAAACGGGGGAGAAAAACAAAGGGACAAGCCTTTTTGTTGACTAACCTCACAAATGAATTTTGGGTTTTGTTCTGTCGGTGCATCAATGTCTGATGTTTTTTTCACTCACGAGCATAATAGAATGAAGCATGTGACAAGGCTGAGATCTGAAGAGAACTCTTTAAACGACTACAAAGAGAGAGTTCTCCTCACAGCAGTTACAAAGATCTCTGAAGCTATTGCTTCTTGGTCTAGATTTTGCAGTGTGATCATTCTGAAAGATCAAAAGAAAAAAAAAGCTTCTATTTGATGTGAAATGGAACATTATTATGTATTAATCAACCGGAACCTACATCTCCTCCATAGCTTTTTTGTACAGTTTATTCAGAACAATTTGGGGAAAGAATAATTAAGAAAACGAAAATTAGCAGAACAGGAAGGAGCTTCAAGACTTGACCCAATGCAAATATCGACAATTCTTTGAAACTTCAACGGCAACTGAATTACACAACAATCATCAACCTTTCAAGTTTCATCATCATCTCTGCATATTCTGTAAAAACCAGGAGAATCAAAACCTTCTTCAATCACAAAAAGGCTGATGATTTCAAAAGAAGACAAATCCGTGAATGATGATGATTCATACCTTCGTTTCCTCTGGGACCTTATATGCGTCAAGCGTCACTTCAGTCAAATAAAACCCAGGAAACAAGTTCTGGGCAAAAACAAAGAAAGTAGATTTCAGTCAAGATCAGATCGATCAAGAGAAAAAAATCAAACGAAAAAATTTTCAATTTCAAAAATACTTACATCGAGTTTCTTCTGAACGGTCCTCGGCCGCTTCTTCGGCCGGCGCGGTGGTCGGTGACCTAGAGCCGCCATGAAATCCTCTTCGATTTCCTTCTTCGTCAGCTTCACGGAGAATTTAGGCCGTACAATCTCCTTCGCCGTCGTCTCGGCTTCGACGACTCCGCCCTTCTCCTTCACCCTCGACGAATCATTTCTCGCCGGAGATTGATTCACTATCCTCTCCTCAATTGCAGCGAATCCGTTTTTGATCTGATTCAAGCTGGTGTTGAACTGATCCCCAGAAATCGGCTCCTTGCAAGCTGCTCTCCTTTTCCTCAGATTCCATGGCTTCACCGGAGAAATCTCTTTCTCTTGGCCGGAGGACTCGTCGGTTTTCCGTTCTTCTTCGTCTTGCTCCTCGATAATAGCCTCTTTCCTAAACATCGATTGTGTGATCTTAACCCTCTCCGTCTTCAGATCCGACATAATCTTCACCCTGAACTCTTCGATGCCTTCTTCCTCGCCGCCGTTTTCCTCCGATTTGAACGCTGCGTTTCTCAGCCGATTGCTGCTCCGATTTTCGGACTCGACGCCGAATCGAAACGGGATCGAAACAGAGGAGCCGGCGAATTTGAAAGGAGGAGATCGGCGTCGTAGTCGGTGATCGCCGGAACCGCCGCCGCCGCTTCCGCTTCCGCTGCTCGTGGATTCGATCTTCATGCACTTGAGATGTCGCTGACTCCCCCACCTCAAGTTCGGGAGCGTGAAATTATGGAGAGATCTCTCAGGTCTCGTCGTCGTCGTCGTCATCTCGCCGCCGCGTAATACCATTGATCGGTGCTGCACTCTTCTTCTGTCTTCTCTCAATCGATCCACGAATCGAATTTCTCTTCCCGCCGAAACTCGGATATTTTCTCGACGGAAAATTTCACCGGCGGTGCAGTTTTTTTTTTTTATCGCCTTGTTTTTTTTTTGTTAACGATACCGCCAGAGAAAGGCCAAAGCTTGTGTTTTTATATATGGCAAAGGATGCCGAAGAATTCAGAGAGGTGTGTGTGATTTTTTTTTTTTTTGCAAAATCAATGATGGATCGGAGGGTAGTTTCGGAAATGTGAGAGAGAGCTCGCTAAAATGCGCATGTGTTCGGGGTTTACATTTTCCCGGGTTCAGAACATTTTTTCCATTTTAAGTGAGTGATGACTTAATAGCCGTCGGATTGTTTTCTTTATCTCTCATCGTGACCGTTTATCTTAACTCGCCGCACAATTATCAGTCTAGGCCTTTTCTCATCCTCTCCGTTTCCATTTCATAATCTGGTGTAATCCACTTTTACTAGGTCAATTTTATTTTACCAATTGCAAAAAAGGAAATAACGAAATTTAATCGCTTCTAGGATTCTATAATTTGGGATACCCTAAAAGGCCTAAAATCTTAGGGACTTTTTATACAATTAATATGCTTCTAAATTTTCTTTTTTCGGATGAAATATTTCTTCCAGAAGACTTATTTCCGAGTTGAATGAATTTTGCATACTCCATAATTAAGCTAGCAATTATGGGAAAATATTTAACGAGAAACTGAATATAGTTTTTAAGAAATCAGTATATGCAGAACTTGAATTGATATATGTTGATAAAATGTTGTACTATTTAGTAACATCAGGGAACTCTTATAACATTTAAATTTAAATGAATTCGAAACTTAAACTAACTGCAAACGTATTGCATTTTTTCTTTTTATACCGCAGTTGTTATGTTATGACTTATGCGTCGATGAGTCATAATCGCTGTTCTCAAAGGATCGGTCTCTTTTAAGACAAATGATTCGGATTAATGTATCATCAAGGTCTACTAAACTGGGACATGTCTTGGTCGAGAAATAAATCTCAAATCACTTGGATCATGTAATACTTGACGAGGCTCATAAATGTCAACTCAAAGCATATTTGATTAAAAAGAAATTGAAAAGTTTCCATATTTATCCAAACGTCAGTTTAGAATTCTAACTACATACAGTATTTAACGATTAGAGAGAGCAGGTTAAAGTCAACTTTCCATTTTTCTTGGAGTGTTTTTGTATTAATCTAATAATGAAGTCGAAGCTTCGAAGGTCATCTGGTCATAAAAAGGGGATATTACCAAAATTTCTAACTACAATATTTCAGTTTTCTCCCAACTTGGAAAGTTGAATTTATATGATTCATAGATTCATCGTAAGTATTGGCCATCTGATAAATGCCAAAAGAACACATGGATAAATGAAGTGCAATCACTGCGTTTTACTATCCACTTTACCATGACTTACAGTCATTAAGATTTATTCAATTTTGTTCTTCTTTTTGGCTACGTACAGAAGAAAATATCCAGCTCCTGCAGCTATCAGTGACATCATAAAACCTGGCTTATTGATCTTGAATGGAATCCGGTTGCTGATATAACAAGCGGTCCACCTTATCACAAAACGAAATCCGCAACTTGCTTTGAACTTCTGGATTGAGAATCCCTGGATGATCAAAGAAGCAGTGAAGCCATAGTAGTGAGGTTGTCTTTTCTTTAGACATTTTTCCCAGGGATGCACATCTTGTAAGCATTTCGATTTGGATTAAAGAAGAGTATTACCTCTGGTAATTTGTTTTCTACAGCTAGATTGTCGATATGCAGCCTCACGTTTGACGCTGCAGCAAACCAGAAACTGCGATCCACACTTGAGTATACATTAGAAACTATGTCAAACAACGTCTGAGCTCCATTCTCAGTGGCCTTTAGGATGGATTCTTCTCTGCTTCTCCGATTCCTGGAAAACAAGATCACTCCTCCCATCAAAATTACTCTATATTTATGTATCAATATTTTAAGCTCTATTCTCTCCGATCAACTGATAAACAAAACATAGACATGTATTAGACTTTTTCCACAACCAGTATATTCTTATTCATACTTGAGATATCCACAAAGCATGTGTTTCGGCCACAAATTGACCCTTCCGTGCATAGGAATCACCACATGTGGAGAAAGCTCCAGGAATTTATATGTCGATTGAAAGTATTCCTGAAAGGAAAAAAACAAAATTTGAGGAACTTGCGGTACTTACATTGATAAATGACTAAACAAACTTCTAAGAAAACAATAGAAAAAAGATGCATCACTATCTTAGCCAACATCTTTTAAAGTTTGAGGAGCAAAAATTTGGAAACAAAACACTACTACGAAACATGCCAATCTATTACAGGTCAACACTCACTATAAGTTTTGAATTGAATTACTCGAAATAGAAAACAGCGTGAGCATACTAGCAAGCTTCCAAGGGTACTTAGGACTTACTGTCATGTTCCCACCTGACCTGATGTCCAAGAAAGCACTTCCTTGACTGAAACAACAAAATTGGTGGATTATCATTTGTTGAGTCACTCTATTTTCACTGACTAAAATTGGCTTATAGCAACAGAGATCTACTGAAATTTCCCGTCTTACCCAACACAGTGATCACCAACAATCAGAGAACGAGTGGAGGTGTGAAGTAGTGCCATATGGCCATCTGTGTGTCCCTGGGAGTATTTTTCTTTGTTAAGAGTTTACTAAAACGTATACACTTTCCATCAGAGCTGCAAATCTGAGAGTTATCTAAGGGTTTAAAGTAGCTGGATAGTTACTGGAGCAAAGATGACGGTCAGTCTCTGACCATTGACATAGATGTTTTCTCCTCCAGAAACTGGAGTATAGTTACCAGACCAACCATCTGAAATCACACAGTATTCAAACATAAGAAGTTAGGATTTCAAGAATGGAAAACAATATTGAAAAATTGATACCAATGCGATGCCTAGTTTTGACATGTGCCACTAGAATAGCATCAGGATTGCTTTCTTGTATAGCAGAAAGACCTAAAACACGGATGAAGAAGAAGAAGATCATAGGCATAAAGAAATATGCGTCAGATTTTCAAGAGAGAGAGTAGGAAGAAGAACAACAGACGCAAATAATAGATCCCCTACCATCAATGTGATCACGATGGTGATGCGTAACGAAGACAATTAGCTTTCTAGGTAAAGCAGAAACGATTTTCTTGAGCTGGTCAAGGCAAAGCAATGCAGTTATGAACACCAAATCTTTGAAGATGTTCCATTCTGCAGAGAGATAAAGGAAATTGTACGAAGAGAGAAAACTACTACATAGCTAGTGACAAACCTCAACGTGGAGTTTGTGGAGGCATCCAGGATCCACTATCAACGCATCTCCATAAGCTACAAAATCAGTCCCTAGATGGTCCCTTGAACCATTTTCTGGAGCAAATACAACCAAATTTGTTGTCTTGAAAGGTTTCAACGTCCTGCTACGCATTGGCACAACCATAACACCCGGTGGATACTCCTGAGATAAGAAAAAAACATGAAAGTAGGATTCTAATTAGATAACGTCCAGATGATGAAACCACTTTGATAAAGTAAGAAAGACAAATACAGCTAGTATGGCAACAACAGACCTGGACAGGCAGAGAAGGTGACAACTTCTGCTTCATGGAATCATCCCCAAGTCCGAGTAGTACTAATGGTCCAACACGATCACTGCCCGGTTTTACATCTTTAAGACACTCAAAGCATGCTTTCATGGACATCCACTTATGGTTGTCTGCACTATAAGACCATAAACGAGTGAGTTTACTTTCTCAGTTTCCAGTTCTCTGGTTTATGTTAGAATCGAGTGAAGGCTGAAGCTATTTCCATAAGCTCTAAACTAGAGAAAGCCAAATTAGTCCTTTAACCAAAACACTGAAACTGTATACTATCGGATTAAAAGGCAACCTTGAAAACTTCGATCTGAATCCAACAGCTTCCCGGCAAGGAAACAAGTACGGACAGAGGAGTCAGGTCCAAACTCAGGCTCCTCTACATACCTGACGAATCTCCACTCTCCGACATCGCTAAAATCAATCCCTAAACTAGCCAGCAGCTGCATTAATTCCGCAGAAACAATAAGAGAACGCGAGAAAAGAGGAGTGAGCAACAATTTCCCGAATCTTACCCGATTCAGGGTGGATTCTACGTCGAAATTCTTCAAATCGAACTCCTCCGAGCATGACTCAACTAAAGAGACAGCAAACCCGGACCTGATTCCGCCTTCTAGGATCGGTAAAACTGTTGATGGCAAGTCCCAAAGATCGGAATCGACGAAGGAGTCGTACGCTTCATCCCCAAATTCCACCGGCCGGTTTTGCTTCTCGAGCAGGAACTCGGCATCGTCTCTAGGGTTCTTGATGACCAACGCAAGATTGAGATTGCCCATTTCTGCAGAGTCTGAATCCGAAAGTTTGAAGCTTTTAAAAATCCACGGAGTTAGGCGGAAGGCAATGTAAGTGATGACCGTTTTATACTGACTTTACGGTTCTTTGATTTTCAGTTTTCATTCTAGCAATAATGTTTCTCTTATACTTCTGAAGCTTTGAGCTTGAAAGATGCATCCTTTGTTGTTGTCTTATTTTCTTTTTTTTTGGTTAAGAAAGACATCAAGCAAAAACAACATACAAGAGAGGATGTGAAATGAAAATCTAACAACATAGTGTAATAGGAAAAGACAACATGTTGGATTTCGAATTTGAGCCAAAACACATCACCATGATTTTTAAGAGTTTGACAAAGGAAGAGAGACATGGTTGCCTATCAAAATTTAAATTTCAATAAAAACTGAACCATTTTTAGCATAAAAAAAACATGAGAATAGATGAAGATTTAGAAGAAGTATGAACTATGAAGTACTAACCTGTTTGGAAATAGCTTTTGGCTCACAGCTTTCGTTTTTGTGTCTGACTGTGCTCTACACTAGTCGTTGTCATTGAAACATAAGTTGATTGCAAGATCAGACTAAGTCAAATGATAATATATAATGCAACCTCTGGATCCAATGATAAACGAATGTTGTTGTGTAACTAAGAAGGATAACAAAGAAGAACAATGAACCAAAGATACAAAATTAATAGCAAAAAACAAAGATAGAATTTGGACTATACGTGAATATGAAACAAAGCTATCAATCCAAGCTCAATTCATCACTCATATCAAAAGAAAACATCGAAGATATCTAGCTTAGTCTAAAATTTCAAGTATTTTGGTGATCCCCTAATAAAAAAAAAAAAAAAAAAAAAAAAGAGTTCATCACATTTTCATATCACAAAGACACAAAACATCAAAGATATCTATCTACCCTAAGCTAAAATCTCAAGTATTTTGGTGATCCCCTATTTAAAAATGAGATGAAATCTACACTTTAATCTGTTGACAAGGATTGAAATTGGTCTTCTATTTTTTTTGTTGCATTTTACTATTACCTTAAATAGTTTAAAAAATTTAACCCAACCATATTTATTTGTAGTAAATCCCTTTTTTTTCTTCTGTTTACGGTATAAACTAGGAAGACTGAAAAATTCATCTCGGTGACAACAAATTTAGCAGAAGCGAAAGTGTTCAACTTTCTTCTTGGGCTGTGTGTTATTGATGTGTGACGTCATCTCAAACCAACTGTGAACACTTTTTCTCTCTGCGGAATCAATCTATCAGATTTTTGTTTTTCAAGGCTATAAGAAAAATCGACCCTTTCTTTGTGGCTAGACTTGGACGCCTAAATCGTACGCGACCCTGATCCGTTTAGGAGACGCACAAAGTCTCTTCCTTTACCCTCCCTCACGTTCCTCTCCGACATTTTCAATTTTCTCCGGGTCGGGTCAATGTCAAGAACGACGGGAACTGTATATAATCTTCGAATCACGCGAGCGAACTCATCAATTGGTGGATCTCGTATTCAATTTTTGGGATAGATTCCTGTGAATTATTTTCACCCTCGAGAGATTTTTAGGGTTTAATCAATCGTTGCGGAGATGATTGAACACGGGAGCTCGTCCTTGGATTACCGGAGCATTAGAGAGGCCGCTTGCAACGCCGGCGCCGGAGCTACCGCAGGTTAGTTTGATTACTCTCGATTTCTTCTCTTGAGTCGCGTAGGTGGGTTCTTGTTGGTTGATTTGGTTTCGGAAACTTTCCAGGGGCAATCGCGGCGACTTTTGTTTGCCCATTAGATGTGATCAAAACAAGGTTACAGGTTCTTGGTCTCCCGGAAACTCCAACCTCGGGAAAAAGAGGTACTTGCTACAAAGTTTCGCTTAGCTGAGCTCAATTTTGCTTGAGAATGTCACTAGTAGATGTAGCTGTAGATCTTATGTGATGATATGAAGTTGTTGCATGTTTAATCAAGACACACACACTCTCTCTCTCTCTCTCTCTTTCTCTCTCTGGAGCTATGCCTATAGGTGTTAACAAGCTACTTCTGTTGAAATATCAGGTAGTGTAATCATTACAAGCCTACAGAATATAGTAAAGAATGAAGGTTTTAGGGGAATGTATCGAGGGCTTTCACCAACTATCATAGCTCTCCTCCCAAATTGGGCTGTAAGCACCTCTTTTCTCTGCCGAGCTTTGTCTCTTCAAAAAGATCTCTTTTTTTGTAATTGATATCTTGGTATCACGCGCAGGTCTACTTCTCAGTTTATGGGAAGCTGAAGGATGTACTGCAGTCAAGTGGTTGGTGCTCATAGTTTGCAAATTACAAGTCTTTTTGTGCTTTGTTTTTGCTTGTGTGTCAGATATCTCTGCTCACCTAATGCAGTCCAGGGATTGCTTAATTCGTTATCTGACCAAAGTCTTTTTATCTTTCAACTGTTCGTGTCTTCCTGATAGATGGCAAGCTTAGTATTGGGGCCAACATGGTAGCTGCTGCCGGTGCTGGAGCTGCCACATCTATTGCAACTAATCCACTTTGGGTTGTGAAGACAAGATTAATGGTAAGTTTTTTCCTCTTTCTTTGGTTTCATCATGACTATACATTCTGGATTCTTTGTTTTCATTTTTGTGTCTTGTCTTCCACTTTTCTCAGACGCAAGGAATTAGGCCGGATGTCATACCTTACAAAAGTGTAATGTCTGCTTTTAGTAGGATTTGTCATGAAGAAGGGTTGCGAGGATTGTACAGGTCAGTATTTTACATGGAACTGACAATTCAGCGATTTTGAACAGCTTTTGCTTGTGACATTTCGTGCTTAGGTTAAATTTTAGATATCTCGGTTTTATTTTCCTGTGTTGGAACAGTGGTATTTTGCCTTCTTTGGCGGGAATAAGCCATGTCGCGATCCAGTTTCCAGCTTATGAAAAGATTAAGCAATACATGGCAAACATGGGTAAAACATGATTTCTCATCTAAACATGATTTACCAAAATCCCAACTACTTTCTGATCATAGCTAGTTAAAGTTCTCAGATAATACATCCGTCGAGAATCTGAGTCCTGGGAATGTTGCTATTGCCTCTTCAGTCGCGAAAGTACTTGCCTCTGTTTTAACTTACCCACACGAGGTCTCTCTCCATTTCCTCTCTCGACCTCACTCTTAGGCTCATAACTAACTGATCCGGCACTAAAATGGGCTCATGTTACATGCACAGGTAATTAGAGCCAAGCTTCAAGAACAAGGGCAAATGAGAAACGCTGAGACTAAGTATTTGGGAGTCATTGATTGCGTCAAGAAGGTGTTTAGAAGCGAAGGGATTCCTGGAATGTACCGTGGATGTGCGACTAATCTACTGAGGACAACTCCATCAGCAGTTATTACATTTACAACCTATGAGATGATGCTTAGATTTTTCCGACAAGTTGTGCCACCAGAGATGGACGATCACAAAAGAGAAGAGAAAAGTGAGAGTTTAGTTAGTCGACGAGGAGGAGGAGAGGAAGAAGAAGAAGAAGAGAAAGATTCGGCTTTGAGAGAACCACAAACTCAATCTAATAAGATCAACACTTCCCCTATCCCTCTTGGAAGCAAATAAGATCAACACCTCCCCTATCTTTCCAGACTCGAGACATGCTTCATAGATTTTCTTTTCTTCTAAAGTCATGTTCCAATTAAGTAATTTTTTTCCCTTGCGGTGATCAAGTTGTAACCTTTTTTGTTCTAACAAATGTGTAACCTATCGATAAATACCTTTTGGCCTTTTTGATGATCAGCGAATAGTTGAAGATCACATTCGTTTAGGTCTTCTCAGACTCTTATAGTCGAGGTCCCTCCATCTCACACTCTGTGTTCAAATTGCAGGTTGTGGGGTTTATAGTAAATGATTTCAGTACTTCAAACTTAGATGCTTTGGATGGAATTTTGTGGACCCTCACAATGGAGGCTGCTAAACAGGACGAGGATTTATTTCCTTTCTCAATATTGGCGTTTCACCTACCACAAGGTAATAGAATCTTCTTCTCCGGGTTAAGCTTTTAGCACTTGTTGAAGGAACAATGTGAGAACTAATGGAAGCCATTTGTTTCTGGTATTAGACCCAATTATTAACAAGAGAGATAGGCCTGAAACCAGTAGATACTATTGAGATCATAGCGGAGCTGTGAATGTATTAGTAATCTTAGTCAAGCAAATCCTTTGAGTCCATTTTTTTGTTTATTTTTGTTTAGTACCTTTGAGTCAATATATTACATACAGTTACATGTATTGAGTATGATAAACAAAACTAGACATTGAAAATTGGTGGTTGGTAGTGCAAGTTATGTCACTATGTGCATTATCTCCGTACCTACAGCTTTACAACTCTTATGCCTCACCTTATATCTTTCCTTTGACACAAATGAGAAGAAACTAACACCTGATGGGGTCTCAGCAGTCGTAGGCACTAGTATTCGGTGTGGTTGATTTACTGGTCCATTGGTCTGTCACAGAGATCGGTGAACGTGGGAATTTCATATTCTTTATTAGCGAAGCCTCGCCCCAATCCGGTGGAGAAGGATGTGGAGTTAATGTCTCTTCTTTGCAATTGTAGTATTGACATTTTTGCTCCTCACTCTGGATTCCCTTTAGCTCTTGCACAACTTGTTCCATTGTCGGTCTCATTGTACTGTCTTGCTGCAAGCACTGAAAAGCCAACTCTGCCACCATTGTAGTCATTTTTCTAACTCCTTCATTCGTTCCGTATCCAAGACTCTGATCAATCAGCTCGTGGGTCGCGTGGTTCTGTATCTTGTTTACAGCTAAGCTTGATAGATTGATCTCACTCTTGCACCTGCTTATATCAACTGCAGGCTTGGACGATATCAGCTCAACAAGAACCACTCCAAAGCTGTATACATCACTCTTATCTGTTAGATGATAGCACCGGTGATACTCAGGATCCACATATCCCGGAGTACCCTGTGGAGCAGTTGAAACATGAGTTACATCACTCGGGTGCAACCTCGATAGCCCGAAATCCGCAACTTTGACTCCGAAGTTCCCGTCGAGGAGAATGTTTGTAGTCTTGACATCTCGGTGTATGATATCTGAAGCGTGAAGGTAAGCCAAAGCACTAGCTGTTTCTATGGCGATGCTCATGCGCATTGACCAAGTTAAGTAGCCTTGGTTTGTTGGGTTTTCACCAAAGAGATGATCTGCAACTGTGCCGTTTGGTACAAACTCGTAGACAAGGAGAAGTTCTCGGCTGCGGCGTGAAGTGCATCCGTAGAGGGAGACTAGGTTCTTATGATGGAGACGTGTGAGGATTTCTATCTCGTTCATGAATTGCTCAAGCCTTCTGTAATTGTGCTCATAGAGACGCTTCACTGCAACTTCTCTTCCGTCACGCACTTTTCCTGAGATCAGAAAAAAGAAGAAAACTTTGGAGGTTAATAGAGAGAATTCACACTTTCTATAATTGTTAGTGCACTGATCATCTTACCGTAATACACAGTGCCAAAGCCTCCATCTCCTAGTAACCTGTCTTTACTGAAGTTGTCTGTTGCTTCTTGAAGTTCTTTATAGGAGAAGATTGGTATTTTAAAGAAGACATGACTAAACTCGACGTCCGAGTTGTCTCTAGAGATGAGGTCCAAACCAGTTTTCTTTCTGCAAATCCTATGGATAATGATGAAGAGTGCGACCAATATGATTATAAAGATGACAGATCCTCCGATTCCTGGATTATTGGAGAGGAACTTGATTCAAATTGGGTATTTCATGGAGAAAAGATGAAACTAAAGGAGCAAAACAGAACATCTCTCTGTTTTTACCTAGTCCTAGCTTTAACTTCTCTTTGTGGTAGTCTTTTGGTTCTGCAACAAAGAAGACGGAAAATAAATTACTATCACCTCCACAAATGTTTTCATTCATCACTCATGGTTCATAGTTCATACCTTTGGTCGCTCCAACGCAGCGAAACTTGTCTTTATTCATCCTACATTCTCCGCCTTGGCGATGGCAGCGAAAGCAGCCTCGAGGCAGCTTTAGATGGAGAGAGAAGGTAGCATTTACATTAGAATGGTTCTTGTTTCTTGGAATCACCCAGCTCTCTGGAGTGTTGAAAGCTGAACACCCTGTTTTATCTCCCAAATCTGAGTAGTACAAGCTGCTTCCTCCTCCTCCTCCTCTGCAATTCGCATAAGCAAAACCATTCTTCCTAATCCTACTGTTGTTGCATTTGTACAAAGTTTTCATCTCGAGCCATGGAGAATCTGGAAGAGAGAAGCTTGACAAGTCACTGCAAGATCCTGTTTCCAAGCTTTGGTTAAGCCTTGGGTCGGTGACGGTTATGGTGTTGGCTTGAGAGACACTCTTGACTTTATACCATTTCCCTTTTTCCTCAAGCTGTATCTCTGGAATCTCGTGAACGCTACAATTCATCATGAACAGACCGCATCGAGACGGCATGTCTGTGCTAAAGAAAGGGAACTGGAAGTCGAGGTTTCCGCAGGTGAATCTTGCGCAACCTTTCTCGTTCTCGCCTATGGCTTCCACCATGAGAAGGAGGAGGAAGAAGAAGGCCAACATAAAGATAGTCTTCATTGGTGTTCTGATGGTTAGACTTGTGTTTCTTGATATGTAGATCTACAAGATATCAAGACTTTGGTTCCATTTTTGAAGAGATAAGTCTCCCACCCTTTTTGTGTATGGTCACTCCTCTTAATGGTATTGCGACAGAAAAGTTGACTTTTTTTGGGAATTCAGACAGAGCTATAGAGGAAGAAGAGTCTATGGATTTTGAGGTTTTGGTTCGTTATAAGAGAAGAAGATGAAGATTTGTGTGGGCAGCTTTAAAAAAATTGTGCAATAGTCGTCGAAGCTTGCTGTTTTATTGGAAAAAAAACGTATGAGATTAATTTTGACCGGAGACTCTGGTAGAATTGGAAACTTTCAATTCAATAGAAATGCGTTTACCTTTGGTCGAAGTTGCATGTTCAAGATTTGACCACACAACGCTTATCTTTGTCTTTGTATCATCTTAAGTCTTGAGTGTTCAATACTTCCATTATTAGAGGGGTGAGAACCACTGAGCGAGAGACCTTTGGTTTTGTTTGCTCTTTAAAGGTCTTTTGATTTCTAGTTTCCTTTAAATATTCATAATCCGGTTTTGGGATATTCCATAATGCATAAAAGTCATAGTAAATGATCTTTAAAAAAGGGGGAAAAAAAAAAAGCTTGATTATGATGTCTCGCTAGACACCAAAGAGAGAAGAGTTTGATCATGAAAAAAAATATTAAGATAGAGATGGCGAGAAACTTGCAAATAAAATAGTAAGTTTAAAAAAGATTGATAGTTAATGAAAAACGTTCTGTGTAGAATAAGGATGACACGAGGGCTACTGCATATTAATGTATGAACTAATTTAATTGTATCGAGTTATAGATACAAGAATATAATTAATTTCCGATATGTAAATTTTAAATCATTTCACTGATGATGAACCCAGGCGGTTATATGTTAAATGATTAATGAAAATGAACATTACATGTCTCAAGTATTTCAAACTCGACGACTAATCTTCGAACTAATTTGCATTTATCATTAAATAAGAAAGAAAAAGTGAAAATGAGAAGAGATATTCTAAATACAATAATATGTGATCATGAATTTGACGCACCCACTTGTCGGTTCTGTTATTGGTCCGAAGTCAATTTTGGGATATTGAATTTGGAGGCTCCTTTCAAAAACACAAGTTGGCCAACTCTCTCATGCCATTCTTTTGTCGGTAAATGTCAATCTTACATATATTTTGATCGAGCAGGATAGATCATACGTTACATCCGTTTTCATAAACAATGGTTGTTTATTGTTTAATGTTTACATATTTTACGAATTTTTTTATGAAATGTGGTGAGTATTTAATATGATTACAACATATGTTATTATTTATTTAATTATTGTTTTTTCTTAAAAATAAAATTTCAACTTATTTATTGTTTTGTTCGTATTTTAATAGATGAAACTGAGTTTTGTGAGAACATTTTTTTTTTGTATCTAGTCTTTGGAGGGTAAAGTTTTTACAAATATGAAATAAACAGGTAGCAGTCTAGAAAACATTGTTGGAATGTTTTTTCAGGATTCTCTGATACTAAAAACTAAAAAGGTCGCGACATTTTGTCAGTCCAAAAAAGAATCAGAAAACAAAAATAATGGGTTCTCCTCGTGCCATCGGATCTAAAAGGAAAGATCCACGTACTCGGCTATATGTGTTTTCCAAAAGAGTAAGAGAGAGAAATCTTCTAGGTCAAAGGAAAACTCTAAAAAAAATAATAATAGTAATAATAATAAGAGATTGTTAAAAAATGAAAAATCGGATCACTTTTGCTATAGACGTTTTCTTTTATCACGAGGTGAGCATAGCGCACAAACCAAAGAACCACATGAATCATGATTAGGTAATCAAATCCCTTTCTCAATGAGAGAAATGTTGCTTTTTAGAATAAATTTGTCTCAAACAATGTATACAAAAAACTGAGACTAGAAATTTCAGGTTAAAAAAAAAAAACAATGTAAATATAGAAGAATTTGAATAGTACTTAACGTAACCTCTGGATTTTGATAAGGGATCGTGTATCTTGCTTGAGGGATTCTGCTGACTCGTGTTTCTTTGACCACCAAGCCACAAATGTTTTTTTTTTCTGCCGAGTACAGTAGCGTGGTCACATTACTTGATACAATGAATCCGCATATATAACACGTGATTTTGCTCATACATATATCTGGATTTTTAAAAAAATTTGTATGTGCGCCAAAATAGAATAAAAAAGAGCTGAAGTAGAGATATACCGTTAATTAATTTGCCTAGTTTTTAGTGTATAAATGATGTTAAGAGTTTATACATACTGAAAACGATATTTAATCTAAACACGAACATTTAGAAATAGAGACAGCCTAAAATTAATGTTTAATTAGATAAATTTGATTAGGCAATAGTTTATGTACTTTTGGTCGCATCACTTTTTCTAACAATATTTTAAACATAGGAATAACTATACAGTTTACAAATTTTGGGTTATCGTACATCATTTTCTATCTTATTGTAAATCAAGTAACGACTAGCCTAGAATTTTTGTTTGCGTGAAATCTGAACCACGTTGATTTGAAATCGTGACTTCTCAATTCAAATTACCAAAACAAAGGGAAGGCAAAAGTCAAATCTCTCACGCCAATAGGGTTTGCCTGATTTACGTGTATGTCCAACCCCAAAACACGTTTCTATCATCCGAGTTTTATTTTTTGGGTACTTTACAAAAAAAAAAAGGATGTTATGCTCCATTTATTTTTGGGTAACTTTTTAACATTCCTTTTTCGTCCAGAAAAAAGAAAAAGAAAAAAATAAAAATACAAGACAGACAAAATATTTACAACAAAAGAATGTAGTTGGTCATTTACATTTTGCGTTGAATCTTTCGTCTTTAATAGAGACGAACGGATCACGCCAATCATTTGCGTCATCAATAATAAATCTCCCCAACTCAAAACCGTCAGACTCAATGACGGCGTCTACGTCTCAACATTGTAACACCGTCTGATTCCGTCAACGCACCGTTAAACATCCTCATGTCTCCCACCGTGATCTCCCCGCCGACGTCATCCCCAACATAGATCTTCTTCAAGTCACCGGCGTTGACTTTTACGGTCTTCCCCGGTTGCGACCATTCCGCGAGCAAAGCCGGCATCACAAAGCCGGCACGTGCATCCCACGCACTCACTTCCACGTCGTCGTATCCTTTCTTCTCCGCCGCTAATAAAACCGCCGGCGACAATAACGACGAAGAAGCTCTGCATTTGTCGAAGAAAGAAGCGTGGCCTCTTTCTCCGTTGATGTTCCATAGTTTCACGACTCCGCTTGAGCCAAGACCACCAAGATCTGACCAGGACAACAAGTCCTTGAAGCTACCACTGCACCGGCGCATCCAGGGGATATTTCCATTTATACCCTTCTCATCATTGTCCTGGTAATAATAACCAGATCTCTTAACGCGTACTGAGTCGTCATCTTCTTTATCATCGTCATAATCTTCGTCTTCTTCGTCGTCGGAAGAGTTTGACGAGCAAGAGGAATCGGAATCGCTGTTGTAATCATAGAGAAGAGTTTGGGAAGGTAGAGAGACGTCTACATTTCTTAACCTAAGGACTAAGCTCTTGATTCTAGTAATTAACGTGGTGAACGTAGCCAAAAAAGCAATTAGCAACAAAGCGGTCCATTTCCAGAAACTATAAGCGTGATGTAACTTTCCGACGCCGGAGACGGCGAAGGGCCGAGATAAAGACGAAGGGTCGTTTATGGAGTTTATCCCCACGTCAAAATCGCTAATTCTGTTAATAACCGGAACCTCCATCACCGAAATATAGGGTTTTATTATTCTTGGGTTTGTTTTTTTTTCGTAAAAGTTTAAAGAGTAGAAGAAGAAGAGAGGAGATTTTTGGGGTATTTAACAGGGAAAGGAAGAGATGACGTGGCAGATAGCTAGAGGATAGATAGATATGAAGAGATCGAGAACACGTAGGATAAAGGTGGCGGCGGAGGCAGAAAGATAAGAGCACAAGTTTAATGCATGCATGAGTCAGCCTAATGCCACACATGTGATTTATGTTTCACAGTTTCACGATTAACTAAAATGCTTTTTTCATATTTTTTCCCCCGAGTTTTATGCAAAATTTTATATTTATTAATTTGACTTTTTGATCATTTGTATTTTTTTGTAGTGTTATTTTCAATTTGACAATTAATGACATTGCACGAGAATTTCTCGTTCTGAGACAAACCGGCCGGTCCAACACTCTTCCACTGCCGTTCTCTTTCTCTTTATCTTGTAGTGGCGAGATGAACAACCATAAATTATGGTGATGCTCATGTAAAATTCAGAGATCCAAGATGAAGAAGAGAAGCACAACAGAACAATATAATGATCACAAACATACCATTACAATTGTTGTTACCAAAAAAAAAAAAAACATTACCCATCCAACAAGAAACGATTCACAATCTTGACGCTTTCTTCCACAACATACTTCTCCCAAATATCTCTCTTACATTTTCCTTCTCCCAATGTTGTACCTTGATACAGCTCGGCCATAATCGCAGCGGTGGCGTCAAGCCTCTTAACCTCCCAACCACCTCTTATCAGCTTCATGATCTTTTCTTTCTGCTTCTTCACCAGCCTACACGTCCTCTCTTTCATCTTCTTCACTGCCTCCTCGTACGCCGCTTTTCTTGCTGAGTCCCACATTCCCTTGTTTCCCTCCCTAGGGTACACTCTAAAGTACCTGTCGAACTCCTCTACCCCTATTGTCTTACGAACCCCCACTCGTGGCCCTGAATCTACTACAGGGTCGTAGAAAGCGGCGAGCTGCTCAAACAATCCCAACTCAATCATCTGGTCGACCCGGTTAGACAAGTGTTGGAACAAAACCGGCTCTGAAACATCCACGCAGAGGATGCAACATTTGTACCTCAGCTCGGAGCAGATCGATGAAAGACTAGATTCTGGTGAGAATGGATCATTTTCAGGGTCAAAACGCTCAGCAAGGAGAGCGTGATTGAAAGAGTTGGATCCACCCACTATAATCGGGAGTTTCCCGTTGGAAATGACTTTAGAGATGGATAGTGTCGCCAAAGAGCGGAACTCTGCTGGGGTAACTTCACCATCTTCTGGTTGAAACTCGCCTAAAAGATGGTGAGATACTCCGCATTGCTCATTGACTGGGATAAGATTTGTTACAATCTCCAATCCCTTGTAGATTTGCATTTTGTCCGAGTTGATGATCTCAGCTGAAAAACGTGTGGCGAGATCGATGGAGAGGCGTGACTTACCTGTGCCGGTTGTTCCTGTGATGAGGACCACCTTGTCCTTGAGATTGTTACGCCCTAAATGGTCCATGCACATGGTGACTGATCGTTGTCGTTGGAAATTGTTAGTGAAAGTGAGGAGGAGATAATGAGAAAATGGTGATGACAACTTGAGTTCAGGCATATTTTTGGTTAAACTCTTTCTCGTTAGAACTAAACTGAACAAGGGAGACTCATATAGTCGCTAAGAGCATTTATATTGTTGAGATTTCTTTGTAGTAATCTCATTAAATATAATATTAATATTTTAGAGTACTATATTTTGAGAATTCCATTACAAAACTTTTGTTTTCATTGGTAAGATACTATTCGATAACTTATCAATATAATATTACTATGTTTAGTAATATATTTAGTGTAGTTTAAATATTTATGTTAAAATTTTATCTTCAATTATAAAACTTCTCATTAATGTTTTTTCTAAGAGAAAAATTAAAAATAACTCTGTGATACTTTTCTTCAAAAGTAGCAATATTTTTGTGAATCTTTTTAAAAAAAAGAACCAAAATTACCACTTTTGTAAACGTTTATAAAAGTGGTTTATAAAAATCCAAATTTATTAAGATTTATAATCATATATTTATGAAAGTCTTATGAGGTTTTATAATACGCGAATTGATGAATAAGAACATTTTAATGATATTAATATACAGCTAATGCAGTGTTAAACATTTCTTAAAATTTTACGTTTCTCTTTATTACTAAATGTTTAACACTAGCATTAGTTGTATAATTTCTAAAATGTTGTTAGATCCGGGAATCAAGGAAGAAAATCTCAACGCTTCCGACAATGGAAGAGCACATACAATTGTTAGATCAGTCCGTGTTCTTAACAAGACAGCTTCATTTTGTGATCAAAAGCCAGATAAATCATCCTAGTCAGGAAAATTTAATCTATGAGATTTTCTCTGTATGTATGTGTATTATCAATTCAAATTATTTGTTACAAATCCATCAATTTAGTGACAAAATTATCATCCACTCTCGTTTTCACCTGTGAGTTTCACGCGCGCTTATTACTGGATAGCGTAATGCACGTAGCGTGTTCCGCGAAGCCGAGAATAATTGTCACTATGTTCGTTTTGCTTTTACCAAATCGATGATCAAATCACCAACTTGCGCCATTGACAGAATCCAGCAACCGGTGGCTTCCTCCGCTCCGATCCGATCCGATCCGATCCGATGTCGCTGTTAAACCAACTCTTCAACCGTGGAGTTTTTGGCGCGAAATGGTTTCTCCTTCCTTCTTCTTCGTTCCCTTTTTCCACTTTCCCGCCTCAAATACTGCTATTTCGCTGTTTCCTTATACCTTCTCTCGTTTGAGGATTTTGGGATTTTGGAAGCTAGGGTTCTTAAAAATTTTGTTAATTGATAGGATCAATTGCTCTTTTCTTCATCGAATTTTGACTCTGTGTTCTTGATTCTTCACCAAATTTTTAAGCAATTGCTTTCCATCCCGCTTAATTTTGGCAGCAAGACATGCTTGAACATGGCGATTGCTCGTATGAAATTGCTGCAAAACAAGAGAGATATGCAGCTCAAACACATGAAGAAGGAGATTGCTCAGTTCTTACAAGCTGGACAGGAACCCATCGCACGAATCAGGGTACTTCCTTTTTGACCATTTTATGATCCTCATTCCAATTGTGTATCTCTTACTTCTTACAATTCGAAAATCAGATCCTATGCTTCTTGTATGAAATTAGGTGGAGCATGTGATCAGAGAAATGAATTTATGGGCAGCCTATGAGATATTGGAGCTATTCTGCGAGTTTGTACTTGCCCGTGTCCCAATTCTCGAAAGTCAAAAGTGAGTCTTGAGGATTTCCATCTGTGATCGAGTTTATAAACACGGATTAGATGTGATCATCTATATGTTCTGTGTGTGTCTTGTTGGATTTCGATCGAATCAGGGAATGTCCGAGAGAGTTGAGAGAAGCTATTGCAAGCATCATCTTTGCTGCTCCAAGGTGCTCAGAAGTGCCTGATCTTCTTCAAATCAAGAATCTGTTTGGTACAAAATATGGGAAAGAATTTATCATGGTTTCTTCTGAGCTCCGTCCCGATTCTGGTGTCAACCGTACAGTTAGTATACTACTTGGAAGCTAGCTTTTTCTTATTCATGTTTTATGTACATATATAGAAAACTGCAGTCTTAAATGAAGAGCTTGACTAGCTGGATTGTTTTGCTTCTTGTTTTTTTGGGGTAGATCATTGAAAAGCTTTCTCCTGCCAGCCCATCGGGAGAGGCAAGGCTCAAGATTTTGAAGGAAATTGCAAAGGAGTATAGTTTGAACTGGGATTCTTCTGCAACAGAAGCAGAGTTCTTGAAGAGCCATGAAGACCTACTGGTACTCTTCTCTGAACCCGGATTTTTTAATATAAGGGAAAGCTAGTCAGTAATAATATTCACATTGTTTGGTCTCCCAAATCAGATGTGAAAATTTGATACAAAGCAGCTAAAAACTACTTGACAAAACATTTCTATACGCGTCCATCATCGATCATTACGATTCTCTGGTAGATTTTCAATAGGGCATAGCAATAAATTGATGATCTTCCCACGTCTAGCGGTTACTGAATGTGAAGGCCGAGTTTGGTTCAATATAAAGGTTTTCTTCTTGCATGAGCTTCAACGATTTTGCAAATGTCGTGGAAATGTTTAAACCAAATGAATATGTTGCAAAACCAAATGAGTTCCCTTTATAAAGATGATAGTTTGGCTCTAATGTCATTTGTAGGGTGGAGCTAAGCAAATGCATCGTCAAGATAGTCTCGCTGAATCTCGACCATCCAAACAAGGCTACACTCAGTCTTTGGTTTCCAGGGAAGCTGAAATTCTGCCTGCAGAGGCTACGCAGAGACTCCAGCAGCTTCAAGCTCAAACTTCAGTGAGCAAAAACATGTCACCATCTAAGCTGACTTCAGATTCTCAAGCGCCTCTTGATACTAGACGGGATCAGACTGATGTAATGGAGAGAGCTCGGGCTGCTCTAGCTAGCGCTGATCGTGCGACAGCAGCTGCTCGTGCTGCTGCCCAACTAGTTAATGTCTCTTATGGAGCTGCACCCATAGTAGCAGCAGAAGGGAAATCCTCAAACTTAATGTAGTTCCTCTACAGCTTGTTTAGTAATGTTACAAGTTGCAAAAGGTACCTCGAGGTATCACGTGACAAGAACTTGACTCACGTAGTAAGGGAGGAAACACACACGCTTCTAATGCTTGTGTACAGAGCATTAATTAAACGATGTTGAAGATATGGAATCTTGCTTGCATCTTCTGATAATAGCTGTGTTGTGGTATGTGTGTTTCAATGAGGTATTTGAGTGGCATCTAGATGTAAGAAATCTATAATTTGGAATCTAGTAAGTCTATTTCTTTGGCAGAACTAGCTATAGCTTGGTTGAAAACGGAGAAGGAATCAAGTTTCCAGTGCCTAGGAGACTAAGTGCGTTTTTTTTGTTAAGTAAACTATTTTTGACTTAACAAGATAAAGTTCCCACTTAACCGTTTAATAAGCTTTTGTGTTTGTAGGCTCTTTTTGGCAGGTCTTACAATTTTAAAATTAATAAGAAAATACTATGAAGAAAATCTTTGTATAATCTTGCTATATTTGAGACCAGCTTTGACAATATGTACTTGTGGCCAGTTTATAAATCATCATTTCTTAATTTTAGTACCTAGGAGTCAATTCCGGTTATCATAATAACATCATTTTAACTGTTGAGCTAACCTCATATTTTAGAGTAATCAATATATTATTATGGCACTACAACCACCTTTAGTCCTTACAAAAGGCCGTTAGAACATTTGCTTTAGGCCAAATATGTTCGAAAGTTGTCATGGTCGCATTATTGAATGGGGGAATATACACTAAATGAGAGTTTTGGTAGAGTTTGGCTATATCGAAAAGTTGGACCATAAACTGGTATGAAAATATACACCAAAATTACTCCCTACAATTATTTTCTATTATTATGTAGCTCTACTATATTTAGCTCTATAATTCTCATTTTATGAAATAACTCAATACAATATTCTTATATTTTTATATTCAATAATTTCTTCACCGGCCATTAGGATAAATGTGCTAATTTGGAAATATTTATGTATTCCAAAACAAAATGAAGAAGAAAAAAGAAGAAGAAGAAGAATATAATAGATGATTCACATCGTCATGGTCGTGTGCGTGTGCGTGTGAGAGAGAAACGTCCACTTATTATGACTTGCCCCTTCGTATACACACAATCTCAACTCGTCCTTTCCAATTTCACACTTTTAATTTGTCTTTTTCTCATGAACGTTTGGTCTGTTTCCGGTCCAGGTGGGAATCCCACTATTTTTAATATCATTTTCCCACCTTTTTAAAGTAAAAAAATGCATCCAACTTCTTTTATTTTTTTGTTTTTTTCTATCACTTCGTAAAGAAGAAACAACATATTAAGAAAAATAAATTGGAAAAATAGAACAATTAGAACGTGCAGGGATTTCATTTCCTCTGGGCGGCATTTTTGATTTTTTTCAACACGTACATTATAAAAAAATTATTCTAGTGAACCACTCTTAAAGATATTTGTAAGCAAAAAGTAATGGAAGACACGTAGGGCCAAAGGAACAGACAGATGGTGTGTGGTTAAGCAACTACAGTCTCTCTCTCTTCCATGTCCTAAACCCATGTCTCAATGCACATTCTCTTCTGAAAACTCAGTTTCCTCTTTCGATCCCTCCTTTAAATATCCGCTCTCTACCTTCAGTACTCATACATGCATTGATCATTTACACATGAAGAGGGAGAGAAAGAAACAGAAAGTGGAGGCAGAGGAGGAGGGGGAGAGGAAAATGGAGGTGGTGGTGGTGTTGGAGCAAGTGGATGCATTGGCTGCTGCAGCAACGGTGGCTGCTGCTGCGGCGGTGGAGGAGGAGGAGGAATTGTGGGGGATGAGGCTCAATGCCGGAGATGTTTTGGCCGACGAGCTGATGACGTGGAGCACCGTTTGGTTGCCTTCATGTTGGGACGTGGAGTTTGTTGAGAAAAACTATGGAGTTTTGTTCGAATATGTTGTGTGGGACGATGATCTTTGGAATTTGAATACTTCCACTCAACTTTCTCCTTTAAATAAATAACATAAGACAAGTTTGAAGTCGGGGGGGATCCTTTGGTTTTTGGGATTCAGGGTTTTTCAATAATCAGCTCGGTTATTGTTTTTTTTTTCTTTTTCGGTTTTAGTATATATGAACCATGTTATAATTAAAACTAGTTGTTTTGATTTGGTATGATTTCACTTTAAGTTAAGAGATCAAGACTTTTTGTTTTGCTTTGTGGTCGAAGAGTTTAAGGCCATGAGTTTTTTATAGAAAAATATCCTTAATTTGAGGATTTTTTGTATAAGGTAAAATCAAGTTGGTTGTAGTTTTTTCTTAGTTTAGTTATTAGTTTAGGGCTTCCCGTTTGATAAGAAAATAAAACTCAACAAACCGAACTAAGTCTTTATGGTGTTTGGGTCGAACATTAAAAAAAATTCCGTGCCCTATTGAATCGGTTGTAGGCTTAAGAATTCAAAATTTAGTCATCTTTGCGCGCAAAAAAAAAACTTATATTTGCCCGAGATGAATCTTGGTTCTTAGAAACCGAGCCAAACCGTTCTATCTCGACTCTATCTTTGTTCGGTTTAGATTTTCCATTGCCTACCCTATATGGCAATCAATTAACAATAACAAAATTATAAACAGGTTATAAAATTTTCCTGTGGAAAATATAGCTTTAGTTTTGCCTTCGTTCCATGATTATTGTAGTATATTATATTGAAAAGCACCAAGCGACAAAATATCTAATGAAGTTGAAAGATCCTTCTAGACACGTTTGCTTTGGCAAGGAGTGAATGCCCAGAGTGGATATATAGCCGTCATGAGAACAGGACAGATTGTTCAGGTTACTTTAGTCTCCATATATAACCCAACATCCATATTAGTGGCCGGCGTTTGACACCGAGCTACGTGAGTTAGCGGCCCTTTGGCCTCTTTTTCCTTTCGTTTTTTTAGAGTTTCTTATATTTCACGTTGTCAAAATGGTCATGCCGATGTTTTGGTCCGTAACGTGTGCATCTTAGAAATTTTATTTTTCAGTTGTACGTATTGCACCAGAGTGCCAACTTGGAAACCCCTCGACTCATTCCCTTTTTCGCACGGTTGATAAAAAATGGTGTGATTTTGACATCTATACTATTTGGAATCGTATACGATATATTACCCTTAAAGTATAATAAAAGAAACTTTTGGGTGGGTTTTCAATAGATATCCATCTAATTCAATATATATACTTTTTAAGAATTTGAGATATTCATTTGAGAGACTTGAAAGTGTTCTTAGAAACGATACTTTTAAGATATAGAGAGAATAGTACAAAATTTCCTAAACCTGAAGTAGAAGAAATGACATCGGAAGCCAAAAAAACTTAAAACTAAGTAAGGATGTTTGCGATCAGAGGAAAACGTAAGAGTAAGAAAAAAAAAAAGAATTTAGACAACGACAAGAACAAACTGGCGGGCGAAGTTGAAAAGAAACAAATTTGGGGTTTTGTATTTTACTGCTTTCTCAATTATTTAATCAAGCTAAAAATGAATAGAATATATATCATGCATCAAATATTCCTCACACTCAGTTTGATAAGATTTTAGAAAGGCAGAAAATATTTCAACAACCAAAGTCTGAAGGACCACAATTTACTATTATAATAAGGGTTTGTTTTTCGGATACGCATTACTGAAGTGCTTGGAAACATATAGAGCAACGATTTCTTTTATGAAAAAATTAGGAAATTAAGACTCTTAATTAGGAATCCATTTCTAATTTTTCATGGCGTTTTTCTATATTTATAACAGATTTTAATTTCGAAACGTTTCTCGAAATTATAAACAGATATCTTGAACACACTTTCCAAGCAATCTAGCATTTCATGTGAAAAAGAACACATAGTAGTTGTTGGAGCTCTCGTGAATTGCGAAGACGAGTCTGATTACTGAATCTAATTTTTGCTACTGGCCCCAATAGTTCTAAACAATCTGAATTTGATATTACATTTTTAAATCTTTTATTTTATTTTTCTTATCAGACATACCCATGTGACCATTGACTCAACTAGACATATCCTGTTTGTCAAGAAATATATATATATATATATATATATATATATATATATATATATACTTTAACTAAGTTTAACACAATCATGCATATACTAATTTGTTATATTTTAAACTTCTCTATAACACTATCATTTTTTACATTATTTATTCTGTAGAGTACTAATTTGGCATGAATGGTAAGTTTTATACCATTTTTTTTTATATTGTTGTAAGTCCAGTTACAGAGAGAAGAACAATGAGAAGCAGAAAAGACCAAAATCTACGTAACAACAAATAAAACACAATAACAAGTCGGAAAAGACCAACGATCAAACCAAACAAGAATAGCACAATACTTCTTGTTTGTTTTCTGCTTATATCTGTAGATAATTAGTTTACATTGTGTATTATGTTTTGAGTGAATATTTTCAACGTTGCTACTACGCCTCCATTCTATATCTCTTTGTCTTCAATTTTGAACACCGACACACTGAAACGTAAGGTTTTACCTTCTTCTTTTTGTTTGTTCTGTTCCGTTCCTCTATTGTTGTACATTTTCTTCAATACTTCTCCGTCGGGTAGCTAGAAATATCAATTGTCTGCCAAAATAAATTGAATTTATTAATTAATTTCCAACGCTACAGAAACTGAACCTCTCTTGGGAATGCAACTCATGATTATGATCTTTTTCTTTCCATACATTTGTGGTTGGACCACTCTATTAATATATCAACGAATCATATATTCAAAATGTTGGACCATATATATTCATAACCAACCGAGGAATAAACAGAGAATATCGAAGGCACATGCATGTGACAAGAAACCCAAATCAGTAAATCTTAAAACATAATTGTAATTACAGACACCGTATATAGATATTCAAATGGAATATCTATATGTAACAGCTATTTCATATTTATATATATGAACAAAAAAAAAGAACAAAACAGAGACATAGATAACGACAGAGACAGAGACTCACTTGAATTACAAATGAGTCAATGACACAGCACGCCCGTCATCTTCCCTACGGTTGAGGGAGAGAGAGAGACAGAGAGAGAGAGACAGAGAGAGAGATGGAGTTTTCGGACTATAACAATCTCTGACCTTCTTGTCATATCAAAAAACAAATCTCTCACTCATCTTGTTACCTCATCAAAACATTCTCTTTCTTGTTCTTGATCTTCATTTTCTTTTCTGTATGGGTTGTCGAGACATTTTGATGACTTTCTCCGTCGCTCTCTTACTCATCTCTCTGTTCCAGATCTGGCTTTTCCGGGAAGGACACGTCCGGGAACTGTCAGAAGACAACCATCTTGGAAAAGACGGAAATACCCTCGCCTCCAAGAACAAGAAAGACGACGACGACGATGTTCAACGACTCTTCCAAAGGTACTTTAAGGGAAGATCTTTTGGTCTTATCAGAAACAACAACACTCGCTTTGAAGATTCCTATAGAAAGATCCCTAGTGCCCCAGATCCTCTTCACAACTAGTTAGTCCATTACGTCAAGTCAATTCTTTTATTTTCTTCCATCTTCTTTTGAACTCTTATTTTCCCAAATAACCCTTGTTTTTTACCTCACTTTGCCTGTATTTATTTCTTAAATGAGGACATTTTGGTTATAATGACATTGGAATCAAAAGATCGTTCGCTGTTGTAAAGATTAAAGTAAAATGGCATGAATTTGCTGTGTTGCTAAGTTTCCCTATACTAATAAATAATAAAACATCTTTACATTTTCTTAGTGTTCCACATCCATCGATGATAATGCATACATGTAGTGATTGAGATCAACTCCGTAACTTTAATTATTTCAGTAATCAGTTTGTTGTTTGTCTTAAACTTTTATGAGAATAAAATATGTGTATATTTTTCTCTTGTTTATATGTTTTGTCCTTGTCATCAGGGCTTTCTGATTTCTCTTTGGTTTGTAGAGGTCCGCATTCAACAAATTTTAGACCATTTTCTATGAATATTTTTTTTTATAAAAAAATTGTGATATTTTCCTTCTTTTAATCCTCTGCTGCTTTCTCGTTTATAGATAAGTCATAGGCTAAATTCTTCGGGACTCCTTTTTCATAGTTTTCCTATTCTTGATTGTTCTATGAAGGATAAATAAGGAAAATTATTAAGACATGTAATTTGTGGGGGGGGAAAAAAACATTTACTGCTATGTACGATCATGATAAGTCCTTATGACACAACTTTTTTTTTTTTTTAGAAACATTGATATAATTGTGTTTAGTTTTTTACCACTAGAAAGACAAATATATAAGGCTTAAAGCAATAAATCACTAGAATTCAAAAGGGGGAATAGGAGAATAAATAATTGAATGACCAACACCAAAACCTCTACAAGAGAAAGAGAGAAGAAGAAGCATTTAGGGGTGGGCATCTAATAGTAAGGGAGGGTTGTCTTAACGAAGGAGGAGTAGACCCACCTTTCTTTTTGGTCACCAGTACCACCAAAGGACCCACTTCAATTGACGTAATTTTCACAAATAAAGTTTTCTTCTCTCGAAGTTAAAAAAAAAAAAAACAAAAAATGAGCCATCTAAAATCAAATCAAGTCATTCAACATTGCATCAGTAATACTATAACACAGTAATAAAAAAGTTAAAAACACATATGGATCAGCAATTCAGCATAGAACCATCAATCGTGGGACAATAAAAGATAAAAAGAAGAAGAAGAAGAACCATGGCATACGTGTGGACGTTAAGCATGTAATCCGTTACATGGGATTGGACGAATGGGCCCATTGTCAAAGTCACCGTACAAATAACATTTGACGTAAAAACTCTAAACCGTACCTTTAATTAAAAAAATAAATACAAGAAAAACAACAATCATAAATTACACTTAGCTCCATTGATCCAAAACTACATGAACTTTCGACTTCTTCTACTAACTCCGATAACAAACAAACTCGGCTAACAAACTATTACTCTATACCTGTCGTTTTAATAATAACTCCATTGACCCAAAACTACATGAACTTTTGACTTCTTCTACTAACTCCATTAACAAACAAACTCGGCTAACAAACTATTACTCTATACCTGTCGTTTAATAATAACTGTCGTTTTGACTTTTTTTTTCATACAAATTAATAAAACATATTAAAATTCACTTATACCAAAAAAAAAACACAAACTTCACTCATGAGACATGAAGATGACATTGTCTCCACATTCTCCTCCTCTTTAACTTATTGATCGCTCTATCCTCCAACACTTTGTGTTCCTTGGGCTTTTACGGTCCAGTTCAAATCTTGCATCCAGAGATAGATTCACATCATGCCCGGTTCATTTAAAAAATATTGGATCATGTGCAATTCCTACAAAAGGATGCAGTTCTACTAAATTATTCTCAAATTCTATTTTAGCAAAAATTTGGACCCCAAATTAAGACAAAATTTGCTAAAAAGAGGGAAACTGGTCCATGTGCATTTTCACCTTTGGCACATGGATACAACCGGGCCTAGGTCACATCATGCATCTTTTACCGTAACTCTGTTTCTTAAGTGCTGTATGTTCATTTCACAAAATAACCTTTTTTCACAAAATAAATTTGTATGTGATTAGGACGTAACGCAACTACAACTTTATTATAGTCGATCATTTGATGATAAAGAAAGAGAACAATTGGTTCAGTTCTCCACCTTAAGGGCAGAAAAAAGGATTTGAAATCAAAGTGTACCGCAAAGAGGTCTTACTCGAATGAGAAAAAAAACACTTTCAGTCCGTTAATCCTCTAGTCGAGTAAAATCCTTTGCAGTACACTATTATTTTAAGTCAACTATATAATGTTTAACCGCTTAGAATCATGTCCCGCATATGCATTATGCTGTGAAATCATCACTTTCATCTTTGCCAAGTTCAACTTCATGCTGCTGTTGCAAGTCAAAAATCCTTCCTCGGTTTTGCATATATATTTGTTGTCAAATATCGGTTTTGCATATATATTCGACCTATCAAATAAGTTTTGTCTTCTTATATAATTCGTCTACAGCAATGGGATCTGTCTTTCTAAATTTTCTGCATGTCACAAAGGAAAACAACTAGAATCTCTTTTTGTAAAGCGTCATCGTCTTTTGTAATATAGTTCAACTTTTAAGGAATAAAAAAGCGTTATTGATAAATTGGCTATATCATTCCACTTAAACACACAAGATGAAGAGGGCCGAAGTGAGTCCGTTGACTAACTAATTGGGCTTTGGTTCTACTTGAATTCGTATAGATTGTTTCAACCTGATCTCATTTTGTATTGTATGATGAAGAAAATACAACGAAGTAGAGATATTTTTGAAGGGTCCCCATGAAAATATCATAGGAATAAGGGGATATGCCAAACGGGGTTTCGTTATATATCTTCTAAATAACGAAGATGCCAAACGGGGTTTAATCAAAATGACGGTCCCTTACGTTTTGGATTTACTCGTTTTTATTTGAGGTTGTATTTTAAATTTTGAAAAGACTTTATAGAAGAGAGGAGAGGACCACATACATGTCATTTCAGTTTCAGCTCAAAAAGACAGCCATGAGCCACCCTTCCCTTAATATGAACTAAATGATTACAAAAATCCAAGATTTCAATTTAATTTGGTGGGTCCAATTGCCCTTTCAATGTTTGCAAATCTCTCTATTGATTTGGTCCAAATAAGACGGGATTCACAGCTTTTTTGTTTGTTGAATTTATTCGAAAAGGAATTTTCTACAAAAAAAAATAGTATACAAGAAGTTCTTGGCTTCATAACCTTCGGATTAGAGATTAGTGCATGTTAAATGGGTATCTCACTCACTTCCCATAGCCACAACTTTTCTATTTTGGCTAAAACTATTTAAAAATCTTAAAGTTTTGAACCACAAAGTCTACACTTGATCAGCTTTGCATGCACTCCATTAAAATATACAAAATATTATTAATACTTTTTCTATGTACGTACCTTTTATCTACTATCCAGTAACTGTAACAGGAGAAGCGGCAAATCGAAGGTTGAATGTGATATAAGTTACAAAGCCAATGCCTCTCTATGCTCCTTCGTGCGGACCCAACTCTTAGCTACACAACAACATCCCACGATGTGACTTCTACAATCTTTTAGTTATGTAATGTCTTTTTATGAATTGGACGTTTTTCTCCTTTATAACAACACAAACAAAAAGATTTCTGATAACTTTAAACGTTTCTGTAATGTATTATACACCCGTACTTTATTTACCCGTTCTACGTAGTAATTTTAGTAATCATATTATAGAACTTACTAACCAATATTCTTTGTAATTATCCATCTTACCAAAATTTAAGCGCCACCAAAAGTAACAGTTCTTAATGTACCACAGTTTTAAATCAATAATGGCTTGTTGATAATGATGTATGCGGATATTTTGTGTAAACGCTGATAGCCAGTTGGTCCAATTTACGCTTGTGTGGTAGTTAATTAGTTGCCAGTTTCCTCTTCGCTAGAAATTAAAAAAGGAATTGGACTATACAGAAAAAATGCTACATATAAATTGGTAGGGACAATCACGTAAAACTTGGTTCATAGTGCTTATTGTAATTGGCTGTCACGCTATTTCTATTACGAATCCCAATTCGGTAACTCTGATACTTTCAAAATAATGTAGTAGTTCTAACAAAATACGTTTTTAATTTTAACGTTCGTTAAGTATGAACATACGATTTTCCGGTTTGGTTTTGTTTGGATTGGAAGCATTTTATTCAGAATAAACTACCAAATTGGTAGACTCAAGTGTTTCGGGATCGGTCTAAACACCTTTTTGGGTTTTTTTTTTTGTCTGCCGCTTTTTTGGTTTTCCTTTTGACTTCAGTTGGGTCATAAAATAACCAGAAATATTGATAAATATTCTAAAATTGCATTAACTATTGTTGTTACAAAGGTTTGGAAAAAAACATCATATATAAATATATCATAATTAAAAATATGAGTGCTTAATGGACTTTGATTTCGTTGGTTTAGTTTGCTTGCAGATATATTGGTACCGGTTTAGTTTTCATCCCTTTTGTTTTATAGAAAAGTAACGGTGCTGATATACATATGTGCCAAGAAAAATCAGTTAATTTTTGGTTTGAGAATAGTTATGTTTGTTCAAATTCGGTATGAGAGGTGAACACCTATTGTAATTTTACCAATCAAAATACCTATTCACATTCTTATTACCAGATTTATATACATCAGTGCTATCCTTACAAGAAAGTCGTCACATTATTAGTTATTCCTATGTACAAACCAACTCCAAGTGCAAAAAACGTCCGTCGTTACAGAAGAAAAAAAAAAGTCACCAAAACTTTAAATTCTTTTTTTTTTTGGTTTGTAAAAAGAAAAAGTAAGAGTGAGCTAAGATATAACATGAATATTCAGTAATTCAGACCTATTGGTGAATTGGCAGCAGAAACAGCAAGCGAGGCTCTCTTAACGAATCTTCCTTTCATTCGAGGTCTTTTCTCCGCATTCAATTTACGAACCTCGTACCTTATCTTCTTAGAAAACAACCTCGTCCTCCTCTTCTCTCTGTACCTCGAAACCCTAGCTTCTCTGCCTCCATCTCCAAACCCACTTGAAGGTAAACATCCACCAACGTACTGCTTTTGATGATGACTTTCTCCTCCATTTCCCACCTAAATACACAATCGCAAGTTATAATTAAGAGACATGAACCATTATACTCATTCTAGAGAAAACCCACTTTGATATTTCTAAAGAATGAGTTTATATTACATATATACGTACCATGGAAATAGCTGGCCAGCCACTGATGTCTATGTCTAGTTCAGGTGGATCTCCTGATGTCCATGGTGGACCTTGGCCTCCCCAAGTGGAAATCACTGAGTCATAGTTTAATCTCAGCATCAGAACATTCTTCTGCTCTTCTTCCTCCACCTTAATACACTCACCAAGACTACTTTTTTCAACCTTCTTTATTATTACCTCCTCTTCTTCGTATGTCGTCGTCTTGTGCGACTCGTAATCAAAGCTCAGCTCAAACGGCACCATTCCATCCCGGTCGTCGTCCCGATCCTCATCGCATATAATTCCCATGTTCATGATGGCTTTTGTTTCTTCTTCTGTTTCTAGCTCGTCTTTTTCGATTTTGAACATCTCTGAGTTTGATGATAAACCTAGCTCCTCAATGGCATAAGACTCGGTGTCTAACCCGCGACCAAGTAGAATCTCCACGTCAGCAGCGAACTCCTCGAGCTCCATGTCTGTCGGGAAAAACCCATTTAGACAACTCTCGGCGTTGTTGTCTTCGTCCTCCTGATCCTCATGGATCATAACACCGCTTCTCATCGTAGGAAACTCTATCTTCGGCTCGACGACGTCGTTTAAGAATTGCTCGGCCACCATTGGATCAAGAACCGGCACTTGACAAATCAGCTGCTCTTCTAGCTCGTAGCTATCCGTCTGGTCCTCCACGCTAATCTCCGGCACCAAGTCGTGGAAAATCGACGGATGGCTCTTCTTGCCAGAGCCACGCGGTGTCCTGGCTTTACGAGTGAACCCGTGATGCCACGTGGCAGCTTCGTGCAGAGGAGAAGAAGAAGAAGCTGAGTGGTTGTGGTTGTGGTTGCTATGCTTCGGGCTAGCCGACGACTTCAAACGAACTCTCTCGTGCCGGCGAGCGAGAGGGTTCGCAGAGTGGACCAAACTGTCGCAAGATTGGCAAAGAAAAGCATCGTCGGCGGCGCAATACCACCGTGCCCGTCTCTTCACGCAGCTGTCGCAGGCTCTCGCCGTCTTAGCTCCAACAGCATTCGCCACACTTTTCATCTTCTTATAAACTCGAATAAACCAACATCAACAACGAGACGAGAGAGAGCACGAGGGCTTTCGATTTCGAGTTCTGACTTCAATAATTGAATTCTTTTTCTCAAAATTATTGCTCTCTGCAAAAAGTTAGATTTTAGTGTACTCCTAGAAAATTGGGGCAGTGAGAGTTTGAGATTAAGAGGACATGTCCCGGTGCGTTCTCTTTTGTCAGTGGATTTTTAAGTAATAAAATTTTATGTACTTTTTGGGTGTTTATGTCTTTCAATCGGGACCCACTTTGAGGCCTTATCTGGATTTTGATTGGTTGAGTTCTGAATATGATCTTTGTAATTGTGTTTTAATTGGTCAGCTTCTTTATCCAATGGATTTCTCGTGTGGTCCTTCTTGTCGCTTTCCTTCATCGTTATTTTTATTTCTGTTTGCGTTTGTTTATTGAAGACTTTTTGTGGTTTTTGTTATTTCATTCTTTTCTGGTTGCCAAGGTTTCGGGATGTTTATATTTAAGTACGAAAATCTAAATGACAAAATGACATTATGAGACGCTTATAAAAGATTAACATGCAAATCTTCTTTGGAACACTTGCAAATTATCATTTTTTAAATGATAATTCTGAAGTAAAGAACAAAAAAAAGTAGAAACCTTTGCTACCCAAAAAGAAAGAAATAACCAAATTTAACCAAAAACCCCATGTTTGGTTACTACAAACTAGTTAAAGATACAAATCTTTATATGCTGTTGTTGCAAAAAAAAAGAGAAAATAAATCGAAGTTGGTTAGTATACTAGAAAAATTTCTGGCAACATAAAAGCATACACATATCTTTGAACATATGTGTTGTATTTTTGGAAGACTCTTTGGTTATAACATCCCATACAATTTACAATATAAATTAGATATGATCATTACCATGAACTTTCTGTGACCATATACTTTAGCTACGACACAGCCACGAAAACAAATATTATGAAATAGATGAAAAAAATCTTGGTCAGTCCATAACCAATATGTGATTATTTACACACACAAAATTACAGCAATTTTAGTCTTCATAGGAAACGAATATGACTACTAGTGGCCTTGGATAGGCCACAAAATAGCAAACGAACGAGGTATCAGCTATCCAATCATTCTACATACTAACAAATGACCACAAACTATTCGTGGTCATATATATTTGGCCTTATGTAACGAATCTATCACAGATACATGCGTAAGTTATGTTTCAATCTAATCAAACCATTTACATTTATATAAATCGTAAGGAAAAAAATTGTAATAATTCGTAAGAAAAAAAAAACTGTTATTAAGATTTTTATTGTTGTTTATGTTGGTTTGAACTCGGTTTAGTTCTCTCTTCGTGATATCCGGTTTGACGGAGGACTTCTGTTAATTTTGGTTCTTCTCCAGCAATCAGCGATTCAGCATCTACATGTTATTTGGGGCTAGATACATAATGCGTTGGCTGAGAATTTAAGTGTATGTGGGCCGATAATTGTTAAAAGAACTCTGGAAAACGAACTTCACTTTTCAAATTCTACTAGAAGCCCACTAAATCTCGTACGATTTTCTTTATGGAGTCTGCTTACAGTTGATATTTCAGTATGCTTCTCTCCACAAATCAGAATTGGTTGCCCATTTATCATCGTAATTGAAATCATTGAGAAATGGTGGAGAGAACATTGTTCTTGGATTTATATCATCCTGTGAGATCATACGCCAAACGAGTCCAACGATTTGGTTCCGCATCACAAACGACTTGGCTATTGCCTTTGGTTCCACCATCCATCAAGTTTTGTATTACTTTAATTTTCTGTATTTTTAAAAAGCAATGGCTGTACTTCCACGTTAGATTTCAAGGATTACCTTCGGTCCTTCACTACAAGCTTTGATAATATATTTCAACAGATTCATCGGGGAGAAAAAAATAGGAATGTGGCAAGAGATGGAAAGGCATTGGTAAATAGCAAGAAACTAAAATATAGCATTGGCGAGGCAACAAACTAACCACATGACTAGACTGCAGTTTTACGTATTGTTGCTTTTTAGATATTACAACATTTAAAGCATTTAAAGAACCGCCCAGAATTATATTGTAGTTATCTATCCTAATCCAATATAACTATGGTGAGACTGACACCGCATTTCTTTTACCCCTTCCACAAGTTTCATTCATTTTTTTTTCTTTTGTTTTAAAGATGACAATGCCTGCTCGGTGTATTCCGAAAATGACTAGTTTTAAAGGATCGATCCGCCAAATATGTCTTGAAGTGATGAGTGTAAAAGTAAGAACACAAATGTGTTTAGATAGTAGATTGTAAATTTAGTCATATAGGGACTATTATATTAGATAGCAGGGGCGGAACGAGTGAATTAGTATTGAAGTCCAGTGCTTCCACTCTTTTTATTTTTTTTTAAATATTTAGGCAAATTTAATTAAAAATAAATTTAATGTAATGGTAAAAATAAAATGCTCTCTACTAATAATTTATGTCTTTAACTAAATTTTTTTCTAGATCCGTCACTAGATACTAGATAGTACATAATCAACATTTACTAAGAAACTACTAATTTATTAATATCTTAAAGTATACTTCTAGAGTTTCCTGGTTCCTTTTACAAGACCCAGTTTTAGAAATCACAATTCTTTGCTCAACTTATTTTGGAGTACTATATAGTATTTAGTAATTAAACTCGTTTAACCCGTGGCATTCGTGTATCCAGTTACATATTTGTACGATAAAAGAAAAAAAAAAAATCACTTTACGGTTCTCACCACAATTTCCGTGCATGAAGTCAAAATGGATTTAAGTATGCTATCAGTTCTGACAAATGTGTGATATGCCCCATATTAGTCATTATTACCCCACATTTACTACACATTACCTTTATCGGTCAAACCCAAAGAAGCTTCTCATTTCTTTAGCCTTTATCACCGCAGCAACCTTAACAATAACTCGTCAGATCAGGACAGCAGTTTCAAGGGGAAAAAAATTACTAAAATAAATAATAAATTTTAAAATTTGATTCATCACAAATTATATCACAAGAAAACTAACAGAAGAAAAAAAATAAAAAATAAAATACTCCAAATGAAAAAGTAGAGATGCAAGTAAAGTATACGCAGATATGAACATTTATGGTATTTGATCGTCTCTTTCACTTTTTCTCTATTATTTTTTCAATATTATAAATATATAAAATTCTAAAACACACTAGGCGAGAGAGAGACAGAGAGACTTGTTCAAAGCTTGACAACTTCAGGGATAAAGACAGGGTATCGGTCGATACAATCCGACCATGGTCCCTCCGTTGGTGACTTGATCGTCCGGTTACATTTCCAAACGGCGGAGTTACATTTGAATCCACTCCCAAACGCGATCTGCCAAACCCTATCGCCTCTCTTCATCCTCCCTTTGGCCTCGATGTAGCTAAGCTCATACCACAACGAAGACGAAGACGTGTTACCAAACCTATGCAACGTCATTCTCGAAGCCTCCACGTGTTCTCCCGACAGCTGTAGACTCTTCTGAAGCTCGTCGATCACGGCTCTTCCTCCTGCGTGGATGCAGAAATGCTCGAAGGCCATCTTGAAATCCGGTATGTACGGCTTCCACTTCGGATTAAATATTTTACGTCCGATTAGTGATGTGAGGAAGAGAAGCTGCTCCGATGCCGGTAGAACCAGAGGACCTAATTCATTCAAAAAAAAATTTTATGTAAATATTAAACATTTATTTCATATGAACCCATAATTCTATACATCTTGAAATTTATTGCAAAAAATACTGAATTTTTTAACTTTTTAAAAATATAAATAAGACACTACGTTTGAACCAATCCAGCCATTAAAATCATGATTGATAATTGGGAAAAAAAAGTCATAAGTATGATCAAATTTTGTTTTAATATAGTAAATTGTTAGTTAGTTACCTATGGTGGTGATGTTAGACTTCAAGGCATCTCCAGCGATGGCCATGAGATCTTTAGACAAGTTGATTCCAACGTGACCTTCCTTGTCTTGCTGCTCGTAAACGCAGTAGAACGACTTGTCTTCCGCACCCTTGTGGGTCCTGACAAGGTGGCAGAGCTTATACTTAGCTCGCCACCGGTCAGATCTCCGGTTAGAGAGAAGAATGGCTGCTGCTCCCATGCGGAAGAGGCAGTTTGGGAGCAACATAGCTCTCTCTTTGCCCTGGTAATAATTAGGAGTAATGATCTCTGTGCTAACTATAACTGCGTTGGAGTTAGGATGGACTTGTAACAAGTCACGTGCTACATCGACAGAGATAAGACCAGCGCTGCATCCCATCCCGGAAAGGTTTAAGCTTTTGATGTTACTCCTTAGCTTGTACTTGTTGATAACCATTGCGGAGAGAGATGGCGTTGGAGAGAAAAGAGAGCAGTTAACAATGAGTATGTCGATGTCTTTAGGTTTAAGTCCTGTTTTCTTGAAAAGATCGTCCATGGCAGTGAAGATAACCATTTCTGCTTCGCTTCTTGCGGATTCCATGGTTGGAATTGGAGGGATGTAATGAATAGCTGGAGGGAGACAAGTCTCTTCACCGAGGCCTGATCGTTCGAGGATCCTCATCTGGAACTCGACGCTCTTGGGATTGTCTTTGAGGTTGAGACGAGAGTGTTCCATGAACGTAGCGAACGGGACACGGCACGTGACGGGAGGTTTGTAGCAAGAGTAGTCCACAAGGTAGACGGTGCGTGGCTTGGACATGAAGTAAACTGTTGAAACGAATATGATTAGGAAAGAGGAACAGAGGATGTGAAGGAGATCGAAGTGGAGTGAGTTCAAGTGATTGAGGATCTCTTCTGGACCCATTTGGAGAAGCTCCACGGCTATGTATGCTATGATTGGAATCAGAAGAAGGGTAAGGAAGTGGTTTACGAGGTATTGGTAAGCGAGTTTCACGTATTTGTGCTTCACAGAGCTCGAGAAATCGGTCATTTTGGGATCCATAGCAAAGGATTTTTTGCCTATGAGATTTTGGAGGGACAAAGGGAAAGAAGAAAAGGTTTGTGATATAAAGGAGAAACAGAGCGTTGAGAGGAGTTAATGTATGGACTCAAGTCTCACATCACTCAACGCTCTCTCTCTCTGTCTCTCTCTCTAGCTACCCATTTCTATTTAATTTTGTTTATTCACGTTATGATTCATTTGCCAATCTATTGTTGTTCTTTCTTTATTTCCACTTTTCCAGTTGTAGCCACTAGCCAGACAAACGTCATTTATGGAGCAAATGATTAAGGAGTAAAGTCTGTTTACCCACTTTTCTTTCTAACCATCTGGTTGATCCTGGAATCTTAATTTTTCCTAAAAAGAATATGTAAAAAAATGTGAGAAGTGTCAGTCGTTTTGGTATTAATAAATTTATTTGGTTGGTAGTAAAATTTCAAACCAAAAGGTTACACAGCGAGGGTTAGCTCTCAACGCTCTCAATATATCGGACCCATAAAAAAGGTCAGATCCTGTTTAACTGTCTTCCCTGTAAAAGATGAAAGTTAAAACTATTAATTTATTAATTACCATATTTAACGAACCGAATTTGAATTTTGAGTCTAACCAAATCCAAATATTTATTTGAAAGACATTTATTTTAAGTCATCTGTTATAATCGATCCTAACTCAAACCGAAAAACTAAGCCATTATTTTGTGCCGACATTTCAATAACAAAATAGACAACACGATCCCAAAAAAGTCTAACCAAACTGATGTATTTCTTCGTATTTTTGTCTATCAGAGCCAATGTATTTCTAATTTTTGTAGCCCATGTATTTCGATTTTCTTAGGCACATATCTGATAAGTAGTATATTTTAACAGAGAAAAACTGAAATCAAGAAATATGTCTAAAGAAACAATAAGGTATTTAGTCACTCTACCTTTAGGCACTTTAGTGACTCGAGAACTTATACTCCAAATAGAGCTGATGCTAACGTGAGGATTTTTTTTTTTTGTTTTTTGGCTGTTCAAATATGGAAATTTGAAAAGCAAATAAAACTTCTCACTAAAGCATTTGTTCATGTCATTTTTGTCACTTGACTGATTTAGACTTATAAGCCAGTCATTAATGTCTACTCAATAAACCTCGATTTTATGTATTTAAGATTTGTTAGTAGACATTGGAACCACGTATCGTTTTATTGAATTGTGGAGTTAATTAATGTTTTAACTGTTGTTACGGCTTTAGATGGTTGTATCCGATGGCGATATCTCCAAAACCGCCCAAGATGATCGCCGGTAAATCGTAAGTGGATACAACAACAACAAAGAATTTGGTGTTACAGTTTTCGTTTGTTTGTTTTGGGGCCTTAATTGGTGTTATGTCGAAGAAATAGAATTATAAAGCATCATAGTATAATCATATAGTTAAACGACAACAAAATCAGGGATAATCATATCCATTATTCCATTATTAGTTGTTGTGGAGTGACGACTATACAATATACTTATATACACACATTACAATTCACACATACACGTGTAGAGTATACTAAAATAAAACAATGGTCCTGGTAATGAGTACAATAATACAAAATTAAATCTATGGGGTGTCGGACCAACCAGCGGCTAACCATATTTTTCCTTAAACAATAAATAAATAAGTACACAGAGGACATTACAGATACAATTATTAAGAAAGAAACGTGTATCGACTTTGGGATTAATAAAGAAATTAGTTGCCATTTGCCAACTCTCAACTATATGACAGTTTGGTATTTATTATATATGTTTTTCATTTACACAAGTTAACTAATCTCCAGACTTCGGTTGGGAAGTTTACGGTTGTTATTTCAAATCTCAGATTTAGCCGTTTGTCACCTGGAGTAAGGAATAACTTAGTGAACCTCCCAGAAAATGGCATGCCTCTATTTTGTTCACTGTCTTTCTAGTTCCTTGAAAGTAATTAGCAGTTTTTTGGGCCAGAAAAAGTAATTACTTTCAAAAGGTTATTATCAATTAAGAACTTTTTTGTGGAACCCTGCTGCATGATTATCTTAGCTCTTTTTTTGTCAAACATATATTGTGCGTATATAGTATCCGTTTCTGTGCAAACATAAAAAGTTTTGGCTCTCCATTTTCTGTAAATATTTGAGAAAATTTGTGAAGCAATAATTATTATTTTATCAATGTAAATGATAAATTGCTAAATTACTAACATTATAGGTATATGATAAAAAGACGTAAAATTATGAACAAGGGAATTAGGGTGGATTTCATCGATTGCATTTCATTTAACCTTTATTTTTGACAGCAAAATATTGATGCTATTTTACATTTAATAGAAGTACTCCCTCTATTTATAAAAGATTAATTATTTCATTTGTTTTCTTGTTTTTTAAAGATTGGTTTTCTATACATTTTCTAATAATTGATGTTAATAAGTTGTAAAAACTTCAAAAATGTTATTGAGTACATATTTAAACTTATTAAATTTATGAGAGAGTGCTTAATGAGAGATAATAATACATTTTTAACTAAAGATTAATTGTTCCTTAGTTTCTAAAAAATCATTCTTTTAGAAATTTAGTACCAAAGAAAGTTAAACAATTTGATGTTTGTGGTAAATTGGTAATCACCCAAATGGTATGTTGGGATGTATGGGCTTGTCAATGCACCAATGTTATATGCTTATTGACTCTTTATAAACAACTTGAATGATGTCAAAAGAAAAAAACAACTTGAATATTTGGTTTTAATCCGTCTATAATCAATATTTAGCTTCAAACCCACTGAAATCATTGGGCCAACCTGTCAGTTTTTTTATTAGATTTTTAGTCTCCTAATAAAAATATTTTGATGATTTTTAGTCTCCTAATCTAAGACCAATCGAAGAAGAAGAAGAGGGTATTTTTTTTTTCTCCAAGAGATATGGCTTTAGTTGTTACTTCTTCCTCAACCGCAATATCGGGATAGAATTTCTCATGCTCAGGAGCTTCCTCTAATCCTAAAGGTACTAATTCTCTTTCATTTTCTCGGGAAACTGAAAATGATTCTCCGATTGTTTACTGTGATGATTTAATATCGTATATATTGGGAAATTAAAATTCTGGTGTTTTGTTCTCTTTGCAACTCTTCAAATTTGATCGCTTAGGTTTTCTGATGTCGTTAATCTGTCTATTTCGTCTTAGACGTTACTCTATGAAATCCCTGAACGCTGAGTCACATAGATGCAGCAATTTTTGGTTCGTCGAGTTTCAACCCCAATTGCTACTGGTTCGTGACTGTTTTTGTGACTTGAATTTCTAGTTTTCGATGATTTCTAGATTTCAAAATATTAAATAGAAAGTTAAGAAAAGACACTGACAAAAGAAGAATTATGTATAGCTGACAAGTTGACTTGTTGTCGGAAAACTCATTTGAAATAGTCCTTTTTTATTCTAAATAATTCAAAATTAATCCAAATTAGATGATGTAAAAACCATAAAAAAACCTACATTTAAAACTATAATAACATATGCTCTATATATATATGAATAAAACTGTATATTGTAAAGGAAATTATTAAACAATACTCCAGCCTATAGATGTATAGATCTTAAGAATGCTATATTTCATTAAAAAAAAAATAATCTAGTTTGTCCTATCTTATTAAATTTGACTTGAACAATTACAATACAAAAAGTCAATGAGAAAACGAAACTTAACCCGGATTATGATGAATCGCATAATCTAGTTTCTCATTACACCAAAAGATCAGAAGAAAAGCGACGAGCAAAATGGCAGAGTATTTGGTAACTGGAGGGACCAGCTTTATAGCATCTCACGTTGTCAAGGCACTTCTCGACTTGGGTCATTCCGTTAGAACAACTGTTAGAGACTCCTCAGGTACTTTGTTTTCTCACAAAGATTCCATGTTTTGTTTGTACGTCTCCAACAGTTTTTGTTTTGTCACAAAAATGCTCGTCTCCTCTGTTTTTTTTTTTGTTGGTGTTCTTTTATTCCAAGAAGATGAAGAGAAGGTGAGGTTTTTGTGGGAGTTGAAAGGAGCGAAAGAAAGGTTGAAGATATTTGAAGCCGATCTAACGGTGGAGGGAAGCTTTGATGAGGCAGTTTATGGTGTTGATGGAGTCTTCCACATCGCCTCTCAGGCTTCTGTTTGTCTTGACAACAATAATCTGGTCAAACACATTTTACATCTCTTTTATTTTTTTCCTTTTTCAGATTAATTCACAGTTAAATAAAGTAATCAACACTGGATTTTGCTCTCTTTGGTATCTCTCATATCAAATCATTGATGGTATTGATGCTTTTTTTTTTCTTTGTTCCTCAGGAGAAGTTGATGAAATCTGACATAAGTGGAACAAGGAATCTGATGAACTCTTGTGAAAAATCCAGAAACACTGTGAAAAGGATTGTTTTCACATCTTCTTCAACCACAGTCCGCTACCGTTTTGACGCCACAGAAGAGTCTCCACTCAACGAATCGCATTGGAGTGATCTCGACTACTGCAAACGCTTCAATGTAAGAAACTTTCCTCACTGTTACATCATTCTTTAGCCAAAATCCATTACTTTTCTGAAAGTCTGAAAATGTACGTAGATCTGGTATGGTTATGTAAAGACTTTATGGGAGAAAGAAGCTTGAGGATCGCAGCCGAGAAGAAGCTAAACCTAGTTGTAGTGATCCCTTCATATTCGTTCGGTCCTATACTTAGTCCAAAACCCACGAGATCCCCTCTAACTTTGCTGTCCATTGTCAAAGGTTAGAGAATCTATACACATCAACTTTGTGTATATACAAATAAATCCGAGTTCGGAGCTAATCTTGATTGACTCTTAGGGGATCTTGGAGAATACCCAAATTTCAGGGGAGGGTTTGTGCACATAGACGATGTAGTTGCTGCACATATCTTAGCGATGGAAGAGCCTAAAGCATCAGGAAGATACATATGTTCGTCTAGTTCAGTGGCTAACTGGCCAGAGATCATTGAGATGCTAAGAACCAAATACCCGTTATACCCATTTGAGACCAAGTAACTATCTCTCTATACATCCTCTGCTTTACGCCACACTTAAGATTTTTTTAGACTTTTTTTCAAGACATGTTTTGATGTATATGCATGCGTTTGCACAAATAAAACTGTCTCATGTGCGGCAGTGAAGAAGGGAAAGATATGCCTCATAGTTTGGACACAACAAAGATACGTGAACTTGGACTTACGTCTTTCAAGTCATTAGATGAGATGTTCGATGACTGCATCAAGTCTTTCCAAGACAAGGGTCTACTCTGAAACCGTTACTGGGAATAATAGTGAGCAAGCTGATGAATCTGTTGGAATATGATTCAAATACCCAACGATCTCTTCTCTTACAACTTATCGCAGACTTTTATCATCTCGTTCATGTCTTGTTGAGTTCCTTTGGACTGAGCAGTTAGATTGTTCATCCTCATCGATGGACTGATAGTGTCACGAGCTTGACAAAGAGCACGTGTCAGTCTCTTTACTTAGTGGAGAGTGTCTCCATTTGATTATCATCGCTCACAAGTCATAATCACCATTAGCCGCCCTCAAAAGTATAAAATGCGATCCAGCTGTTATTTTGTGTGTGAATTGAAAAATCGACCCCTGACTAATTAGATTCCCTCCGTTCTAGAATCTCAACAAAGTTAGTTTACAACTCGTTTTCAATCTCGAAATCTCAATGGTTAGATTCTCATTCCTGATCAGGCAACATCAAAACAAAAAGGTAGAATACGAAGAGACTAAAGAGCTAGACGAAGAAAAACACACAAGGAAATAGATAAAACATAAAGATTGAGAAAAGATGAGATAAGCCAACATCCAAAGGGATCAAACCACAATATAATTATTTTCTACATTTTTTTTTCATGTTCCTGTGAAACAGCAAACGAAGCTAAGAGCTTCAAAACGAAATTAAGCTTCCACAGTTCCTATTTGTCTAAGAAGAAACGGCTATTATTCGGAACACGATAAAACCGATAAAAAGCTGCAAAGCTTCAGGGGCAAGCGATATTGAGAGGAGGCGCCAGTTGATCGGAAAAGGCAAACTTCAAATCACCAAGCTCAAGTTCCGCATCTGTGAAATCGCAGTCAGGTAGATCACTCCCCAAAATGTTGATATCATTATCGAGCAAAGAGAAATCATCCAGCAGATGATGGCCAGAATCTTCATCCATAAGGAAACGATCAAAGTCTAGCTCCACACCCTTTTCGCCAGAAACCATAGAATCCTCTTCAGCTGCTAAGAAGCTCAGATCAGGGATTTCCAGATTCGAAAAGTCGAAATCGAAGAGCAATTCCTTGGTTGAATCACCAGAAGAAGCAACATCCTTGTTGAGAGACATCTTTTCTTCAGACAAATCATCGACATTGACGCAAGAAACAGAAGCAGAATCAGGCGAACGCAAGCACGAGCTATTCACTGATACAACCGATGAGGAAGCAACGGAACACGAAGAGCCCAATGCATCATACTCAAGTTTCTTGTCAGCATAAGCCTTCGCAGCTTCTTCAGGAGTGTCATAAGTACCCAACCATTTCTTAGTTCTAGTGATGGGGTTTCTAATCTCAGCAGCCCATTTGCCTGATGGCCTCAGCCTAACTCCCACAAGCTTGTTGGATTGCCTAGGAGCGCTCTTTCTAGAGGTTTTGACACCATTGCAACGATCCAGACAGCTCTCGGATAACTGAGAGGGGAGAGTAATCTCATGGACTATACGCTTTACCTTTGGAGGTTTAGGTTCGATCCATTCGTCGCTAGAGGAATCATCAGTAGCATAAGGATCAGTGACAACAATACGGACTTTTCTCACCAAATTTTCTCTTTCAGGTTTCATACAGGACTTCATATCTGATTCACACTTCAATACACCAAGAAAACAGCAAAACCCAACTCAAAACTGCTGAATCAGACAAGGGTTTTGGCAAAAAAATTCAAGCTTTGTTTTAGCGAACTATGAAAAAGGGTAATTTTTGCTTTTTGTGAAAACCCCCAAATACTTCGACACCAGAACAAGTCCTGCAAAAAATTCAAAACCCAGAACCAAATTAGATTCTTTTACATAAAAGAAGATAAAGAAGAGAGAGGAAAGGCCATACCTTTTAGGTCTTAAGCCCATGGAAATGGATGGAACCTCCAGAATAAGCCTCTGCTTGGAGCAGAAGCGAAGAGCGTTAAGAACAGTCGTCAAACCAAAGAACAAAGAAGACGAGGTAGAAGACGATCGAGTCGGAAAGGAGATGTGAAACAGAGACAAAATCACAGCCGATTCAATCACAGCCGACATAAATCCGCGTTACAAACGCCTTTTTGCTATATCCCGATTTCTTCTTAGAAACCCAACAATCAGCCTTCACTGTAGTTCCTGTTCTTCAAAAGACACAGAACCCAGAAAGATTAATGACAAACACAGATAAGTATTCAGAGACAAGAGTTACAAAGAAAAAACTTAAACCCTAGAGGAATCAAAAGCGCTGATCTTTATTTTCGACTGGATCCGGTGTAAACAAGGTTCTTGATTTTAATCTTCGATTCAAAGAAGACACAGATTTTTATTTATTCAATCGATGAGTTCATGTAGAAATGCAGAGAGGTTGCGGAAGGAAAAAAAAAAAAAGAAAAGAAAACTTTCACCTACCTTGAGTGAGCTTACTCTGAATTTCTCAGTCTTTCGCTCAGGATAAAAAGCTTTTCTACCTCTTTATATTCTGTAAATATATTCTGTTCTGTTATATTCATTATTCTCTCCGATTTTCTCTCAGATATTATCCCATTTTCACTTTATTACTGCTGGTCTAAAGGAGTTTTTTTTTTCCCTGGCCTAGATAGAACAATTCAAACCAAAAGTAACAAATTTAGAAGAAAATACATGTAGCCTTTTCTGATAATACCTTTATGGACTCATAGTTTCATATTGTAAAAATATTTCCTAGATTTAATATTGAAGTGAAGTTGGCGAAATGAGAAGTACTTTTATCTAGAGATTTTTGATCAAATTGTGCAATGTCATTATAAAAAAAAGTATGTCATTAAAGAAACACAACTATTTTATGGAAGACTTTATTTTCAATATATTTGTTACAATTTATCCATTGGAATTTTTCTATGTTCTTAAAATAATTTTTTTCATTTTTTCTAAAAAACATCCATATATTTCAATATATTTTATCATCCTTATATCCTTAGCTTTCTACTATATAATAACACATAAAATTTAGACGTAAGTAAGATCAGTTACATCAACCGGAGGTGTATCAGTCGGAATCAAATGTAATTCACAGTCAATAATTCACCATCATAGGCAATTCCGCAATTAGGCAATTATACCTTTGGACAAAAGACATCATTCTTACATTCCACTGAATACGTTAATTTTATTGGTCGTCTACAAGGTTTGGTAAATTTTGGTGTTTTAGAGAGATCATTTAGTTATGAAATGCAAAAACAAAATAAAACCTAGTTAAGGAGTCTGGCCCGGGATGTAAAAAAAAAAAAGAGTCTGGCCCGGAAACAACGTCTACAAACAAAAATTATTGAGTATCTATTGACTAGATGTTCGTTCCAAATTAGGTGTTTTGTGTTCTAAATCCTAGATTTGATAATCTTGAGTTTATAGTATAAGTATAGTAATCTTATGTTCTCTTGAACAGTTGAACTAGTACAAATTTGACTAATAGGCAGAGTATATATAAGAAGAAAGGGACATGCAAATTCGTGGCGCATGACCAAACCATACTTTAATATCATGCATCCATCATGGCCCACCAAGAATCCAATCGGGCTCTCTACTCAGACTATCCACTTCGAACGCGTGATATTCACGTTTGCTGTTCTTCTAAAGACGATCGGATGTGTAATCGACGCGCGGAAAGCATACGTTTATCAAGGAATTCATCAGAATTTAGGTGTGTACTAGTAAACCGTCAAACCGGGCCGGCCCATCGCAAACAAAAATTAGCTTACTACCATTTCGATTTAGACATGAGATATTGAATCAAGAGAGTTTCAGACAAAGCTAAATTTAAAAAAAAATAAATTTTATCTAGATACAAAAATAAATTTGTATCTATTCTATTAAAACAGAAATATTTAGTGCTTGCATCCAAACACTCCCAAAGTTTTTTTAATAATATTTTATTTTATTTTTATATTTAATTTCGGAAAATTACTTATTAATTTATATATTTTTAGATTTCCTAAAATCTAGGTCATCTTTAATTTAAATTTCAAATTATTAGAAATTTAATTAAATTTAGTTACAGAAATTTGCATTCAATTTAATTTAAATTCAAAAAATTCAAAAAAAATTATAGTTAAATTTTATTATAAAAATTTAGATAATAATTTTAATACTTTAGAATTTCTTAAATACAGGAAAGATTTAATTTAAAATTTTAAATTTAAATAATATTTTTATTGAAATGCATAGTAAATAAATATTTTATCGTATTTTATCATAAACAATCGGTCTAAAATATCAAATATTTGAGATTAATAAATATTTATATTATAAAATAATATGATCGAGCTGATTAGAGTTATATATTTAAGGTTCATAAGTTAATTTATTAAAACATGTAAAATATTAAGATGATTTGAGATAATTAAACTAACATGTTAGCCCGTTTATATATATATATATATATACACACATTTTTAATAGCACAAATAGTAAATAAATATCTTATTATATTTTTCATAATCAATTGGTCCAAATATTCCATATTAGTAAATATTTATAAGGTTATACAATTATAATTATAGTCTTATACGGATTAATTTGTCAAAACTTGTAAGATATTAAAAATGATTTAAGACAATTAAATGGATGGATTAGCAAATTCATAGATATATAGATTGTTTATGTGTAAATCTAAATTCACATAATAACAAAGTTTATAATTAACATTAGATCAAAGTATATTTAATTAACGTATACTATTATTCTACTAATATACAAATTTTAATGTTTAAAATTAAAATATGATAACAATTTTTTAATTTAAATAAATAAATAACAAAAATAAATTATATCTAAACAAAAAAGATAAATGCAACTTATATTAAAAATAAAAAATAAAACATTCCCGTGCAGACGCATGGGGTTAAAATCTAGTTATTTATTAAAAAGTATTATATTTGTAAAAAATACAAATTACATTATAAAATGAAATTAAAAAAAATAAATTTCCCATGCAGTGATAAAATCTAGAAATTAAAATATGAGTCATTTGACTTGTTTTAATATTAAAAAAAAGAAGAGCATGATGCATGCATGCAATTTCAGATTAAAACTAGATGTATTTAATGTTTATCAATTATCGTTACATATGATGAAATTAAAATATACTCTCTCCATTTAATTGTTAGTGATGTTTAAGAGTTTTCCACAATTATTTTTATTTTTGTTGTTCTTTAAACAAAAAACATCATTATTTGAGAAATTAAAAAATAAAAATAAAAAATTGCACCGGCATCGTAGTCTCCATAATTAAATAGCACAGTAGCCAGATAGCTACATATCAAATGGAAGAAGGAATCAGATCAGCATCAATGGGATGATTACTCATTATTTGGGTTTTGATTATTAAACAAAACCAACAAAAAAATTATTTCATCTCAGTCGCTAATATTTTATATGAGGCCAATAATCACTCTCAGTTTATGAGTTTGTAAATTGTGATCTAGGAAGAGAAATCAGGAAAATGGTGTTCGAGGACCAAACCAGAGAAGGGCTTCTCCATCAAAAAAGTTGCTCAGATTTCGGCTTCAATGACTCCAGCATCGTCGATGATCGCCGTTCCAAGTTCCGGTGTTTCCGCTTTTTCTCCGACGGGATCATCGCCTCCTGGAAGGCTCTCTACGACATCGCCGCTAATTTGTACGAGATGGGCCGTTCCGATCGTCGGAAGCTTTACTTCTCAGTCAAGATGGGAATGGCTCTCGCACTCTGCTCCTTCGTCATCTACCTCAAAGAGCCACTCCGTGACGCTAGCAAATACGCCGTGTGGGCAATCCTTACTGTCGTCGTCGTCTTCGAGTATAGCATAGGTACTGTACTGACTCCGGAATTTTTTCTTTAGATTCGGATCGAATCATCGATTCTCAGGGGGATTTATGTTTTTGTTGTTAGATTGAATATTCCGGATTTTGTTTTCTCCCCACAAATCCGAACTTGAATTTTGTCCAGAACTTTCCCGATTCAAAATCTCATCTGATCTGTGTTGTTTAGTGGTTTTTGAATGATTACGATTCTGTCTGTCCACTTAAAATCTGGTTCTTGTTTTTATCTACACCAGAGATCTTTCGTCTGTATTGAATCTTCCGGATTCTGTTTCCAACAAATCCGCAATTCAGCTTTGTCTTTAACTTTCTCGATCCAATACCTCATGTGATCTGTTTCTGTTACTGTTCTTATCAAATCAAAGATCTCTGATCTGATTTTTCTTTAGGATCATTCTATTAATCCTCTGTGTAACTCTGTTTTTTGCAGGAGCAACATTAGTCAAAGGATTCAATAGAGCCGTAGGCACACTCTCTGCTGGAGGGCTTGCTCTTGGCATAGCTAGACTCTCGGTCTTAGCTGGGGATTTCGAGGAAGAAATTATCATTATCAGTATTTTCATTGCAGGTTGCATCATTTTACCAATTCTCTCAATCCATGTTATAGATTAACCTTTTTTTTAGTTACTTACGTTTTCTTTAATCCATTTGGTTTGTCTATCAGGTTTTTGTGCAAGTTATTTGAAACTCTACCCGGCTATGAAGTCGTATGAATATGCATTCAGGGTGTTTTTGTTGACATACTGCATCGTTCTTGTGTCGGGAAACAACACCAGAGATTTTTTCAGCACTGCTTATTACAGGTTTTTGCTAATCCTGGTTGGTGCAAGTATCTGTTTAGGAGTGAACATTTTTATACTCCCGATTTGGGCTGGAGAAGACCTCCATAAACTAGTGGTTAAGAATTTCAAGAGTGTGGCCGATTCCCTCGAAGGTAGGCAGATACATAACATGGCTGTGTCTCTTTGCTTCATTTCAAGTTTGGGCTGATTTTTTTCTTCTGGTTTTGTTTGTACTTTCAGGATGTGTTAATGGGTACTTGCAATGTGTTGAATACGAGAGGATTCCTTCGAAGATTCTCACGTACCAAGCTTCGGATGACCCATTATACAGTGGATACAGGTCTGTAGTCCAATCTACGAGCCAAGAAGATTCTCTGGTGTGTGTTCCATAGGGTAAATTTGTTGAAAAGCACTAGATAATTTGAAAGGAATTTAGATTACGAGAAACGTACCTATTTTTTTTTTGTGCAGCTTGATTTTGCTGTATGGGAGCCTCCACATGGACCTTATAGGACTTTCCATCATCCGTGGGCAAACTATGTCAAACTTAGTGGTGCGGTAAGGCATTGCGCTTTCATGGTCATGGCAATGCATGGCTGCATTCTTTCGGAAATTCAGGTAACTTACCATATTCCTGTTAAAACAAATTCTATCTATGGCATGAAACCGAGATTCTTGATGTTTTTTGCTGTACCTCTTGCAATTGAGGTGTAATAATAATTTCTAGAGACTAACTTCAACTGCTTCAA